TCTGTGGTAGGTGGTGGCTAGGTATCTAAGATAAAACCGTCATGATAGCACTAAATTACGTGTTAATCAGATCTATGAGAAACTTCTTGAGTAATGACTAGCTAGGGTCTAGGCGAAGGGTGCAATTTCTTTAAAGGTTACTGTTCCTAGTTCCAGCGAAGGCTCGAGTCGGTCCATCGATTGTGTGCAACGCAAATGCGCGAAACACGTCCCGAGCCGAGGTCGCCTTCTATTCGAGGTCACACTTTAGGGTTCATTTCGAACGAACGAAGTCCTTGAAAGAAAAGCTCGGTTAGGGCTACTTTTACCAACTAAACATTAACTAAAATATTAATTTTAGTTAATAGTTCTTGGTATATTTCTTCGCAATCTCTTGAGAAATACGATGTGTAATATAGCAACTAGGTAGGTACTTATCTTTTTAATCGTGGTCGGTCATGGCTTATGAGTGTGTCAAGGTTCACGAAAACATTAATGTGACGATACATTTTATTATGGTTGAAACATTAACAAATAATTAACTGTTAAATCTTCAATACTTAACCTTTCAGCTTCAGTCATAGGTAAATATTTAATACTTCTTCAGCCTGTCATACTTAATTGATATTTTCTTTTGTTTTCTAGAAGAAACTCGATCGTAATCTGAGTTTTTGTGGGTGATGTTCAAAATACAAGTGTGTATCAAAAAATCGTAACTACTAACTTTAAAAGTACATATAAGAAAACTTTAAGTTATGTCTACGGAACACTTGCCTTGTCGTATTTCAATTTATTTTATAGCTCTACATAAACTACACCCGCACTGTCTCACTTGTGCAATGCACTTGCAATAATCCTTGAGGTTTCTTTCCTTTTATTTTGATTTTGTCTTTCGCTAGAAGGAAAATCCGGGATTATAGAGTTCAGTAGAAAATCCGATAAAAAGAGAGCTGCGGTTAAATGCACTGGTGACTGGTTAAATTGCAGTGCATAATGAAACTTATATCCTCAATCTAATGCACATCTGTGGTTTTCTTATCTCTTTACTAATTTACCTAAGTAACTGAGATTTTGTAGAAGAGTATTCTCAGACAGTTGGTTTTTAATGGTTACTGGTTTATGTAGTGGTACCCTGGATTGTCCCCGGCATTACACACTTCAGTTGCAAATCTGTACGAATCAAACGAACGATTGCATTGCGCTATCAGTTTTGCAACGGAGATAAAAAGGCGTCTGATAATGGCACGCATGTGAGCCGTCGTAATTGTTGTGGTTTCGTCAGTCTGTCTGTCATCTTGACATTAGCGCAGTGCAGCTAACGGGTTTCGATACCGAAACCGATTTTTTTATTAGTTTCTGGAATTCGTAACTGGTTTCAGCGGTAGTTTTGGATACAAGTTACACACGTGATTTGAGCTTGTTACAAAATCTGATTCTAGGCCGCTCTAATCAGTCGTTAGATAATAATGACATTCCGTATCGCTGAGAAATGAAGATTTATTTTTACCACACGATGTAACATATCAATTAAAATTAGTGTTCAAAGTTTTCACCAAAAACGTAACAGACAGGCTTTTGCATTATTTCTGTGTGGATTAAATTATTGCCAAGCTGTGGACAACTTTCTGTGTAAATCTCGCGTGATTGGCATGTCGCCTGCACGTGTGTGGACTAAGTTGTCATAACTGGTTTACTTAAGTGCCGGGAGAAGGGTTAACTTACGACTTCATTTATTACCTTTGGCGAGGTACCATTGTTTATTTTGACGTTTATTCGTTGTATTCTTCCATACATAAGTATTCACTCTTTGTCTCCTCCTTAATCGATCTTTTGTTGAGCATTGCAGACACTGTAACAGCACTTAATCAAATTCATCTCGTCTTATTGCGTCCATAGATTACTTTACAAGATTGCTTAGCTACGTCTCTAGCTCAAGTCTTAACAATAACCCCCGGTTTCTGAATTGAAAATGAGCATGATGCTCTAAGCTAAAGATCTCAATTTAGAAACAGGACATATGAATGCGATTTTCTTTAGTACCTAACAGACGTTACAGCTTCTTTTTCTTAAGCCCAACACTAGCCATTTAAATAATCGCATACGTTATTTGCCGCTTATTTCGACAAGCCCATGCGCGCGTGGACCATGAAATGAAGGTGCCGCCGGTTGGCTGACACATACGAGTAATGTTCCCTTGAATCTAATTGACGCTGGCTGTTGCTGACCCATTTTCACATACTATAATAAATAACCAAGTTGTTTATTTTACTTCTTAGTTCTTACCATTGCAGGCTTGCCATAAGTTCTGTTGTTTACGACAAAAAAAAACGTATCGTTATATGAACTTGAATGGATAGACAACAAAACGGCACTGTTAAATTTGAACGTTTGCTGCATGATTCAATTCAATGTTGAGCAACAATCAATTGCTGGTACTAAAAACTCATTTGGTACAGGAATTTATCGCAAAAATGGTATTTTAAAGACCCATTAGGTACTGGATTTAACCGTCCTTCCTTATTCCCGTCAGAGGAACATACAAATCGATAACAAATATCCGGAACAAAGTTCCCGGCAAGCCATTAACCCTGAGCTTTCTATGAGTGAAAGTAATCCGAGAAGCTTTATTAATAGCTGAGAACAGCACTGGTCTCAAATTGAGACTTCAAACTCCAATCCAATCGCAATTTCCTCAAAATTGATTAGAAACTTTGTAAAAGCGTAGGCATACTATCAAGAGACTGCTATAGACATGCAACTCGCTTCTCAACATCATACAAAGCTTTGTACTTACTTAACAATATCACAACCAGTCAAACGTTGTGGGCTCATCAGAGCTACTTACCTACCCTGAAAAATCAAAAATTTCTTTAATACCTATACTAAAAAAAAAAGATTTTCTACTTCATGGTAAAAATGTGGTAGTACTCGTACCTACTTAATTTCGTAGAGTGGTATGGGGGTGCGCCAAAGTTCACCTAAATTTTCAACTCCGAAAATTGGAAGTCCGAAAATGTTCTTCCTAAAATTTTTCATCCTAACAATCACAATTCCTAACTACTCTGTCTCTAATGTTCATAATTCCGAATCATTCAACTTCACAATGTCATTAGCAATAAACATCTATTATACTTTTATTTGTTCTTCTAGATTTTCTCAACATAACCATATTTTACACTATTATTCAAAGTCATATCTTTTTTGTTTAGATTTCTTTCTTTGACGATATATTAAAGTTCCAGAAACGAATCGGTCCTATTCATAATTATTGGTTTAGGTTAGGTTAGAACTGTGACCACAACATTATCATATAATATTATGGTAATGTTTAGGGATAAAAGTGTTATGATAAAAAACAGTAGGAGTTTAAATATATTTACATAAATGATATTATTAATTACAATTTTCGGAAACATGAGTGTTATGAACATCGCCGGTAGCACTACAAATATTATGAATGAAAACATTAGGATGAAAAATTTTAGGAAGAGTGATCATTCGGATTTAAAATCGTTAGGAAGAACAATTTCGGGTAAATAACTTTAGGTGAGCCAATATGGACCCGTGGTATGGTTACAACTTAATATTTTTAACAAACGATTGTGCTGAGAAAATAAATAGGTACCTAATTAATGTTACTAAACTGATACTACTGTCTAGCCAAAGTGATTTATTCACATAGTACCTACCTACCTAAAGTTATCCAATTTCAGATCACGTTTTCACGGAAGCAAGTCTACATTTTAGATGTATATTTAGCTCAAAAATCACCTTACTTAAGTATCACTTAGGTAACTAACATGTATAATACTAGGTAATTCCAAGGCTTTCTTACTGACAAGCTGTATTTTTAAGTTATCTCAAAGTAATTTGCCTCACTGCTCCAGCGGTTGAAATTACGCAAAGCAGGTCACAGGTTAATAAGCCGCCCCAGGGAAATCCGTGTGACGATCCGTAACTTCGGATTGGTCATTTTGTATTGTGACTAATTTTAATTGTGAAACGGTTCGAGGGCGAAGCATTACGCAACAAAAGTAGCATCAGGTTCAATCCCTCGACAAATCAATTTGAAGAGAGAAATGATTGGGGATGGAGACAATTTGAAAAATAAAGTGTCTTATGGATTAATACTATTTACTACCACATAATAACTATTTACAAGGAAAATATCTTAATAGGTATTAAATCCGCTGTTCTTAGGAATGATTGATTCTTAGGATGATTCCACGAATATTGTGTTGTTCATCTTTAAGCACATGATCAACTGGTTTCTCATAACATTTTACTTTTAAATCTGTTATCAATATCTAATCTTTGGTAGCAACTAGAATCAATGAATAAGTGATAATGTCTAGGTTAACTGCATAGACAAATCAGATTAGGTATCATATTTGTTACTGATATTATTATGAATACCTACGATTATAATGATTATCTCAAGGCTATTTTTGATATGATATCCTTTAATGTCAATATCATCAGAGCTTATAAACGCAGAGACGTAAAAAACAACAAAAATGGTCAACGTTCATATTTTCGTCCACGCTTGAGCAATATGATTGTAGGTATTTACCTACATACATTCATTTGTAGTTGCGCAACAACATCGTATTGGTACAGAATGCTCGACCAAGTAGGTACATACCAAATCAACACATTTATGCAGTCGGAAAATGCCTTCAGCTTATTTTAGAATTCTGAAAAAAATACTGGCAAATTCAACGTATGTCGTACAATAACAGTTCATTTCATAAGGCTTTGAAGCTGAGAACTCAGTCAGAAGAACAATTTAATAATCTTTATTCTACCACATCATTAATCTTCCTTCCATTACCGTTAAGTAAGTTATGCGTATCTGTTTGACTCTACATTTAACAAATCCTCGGCTAAAGTATGAGTCAATCTAGTGTGCTTATTATAGTCCTACTTATTTTGAATTTTAAACATGATTAACTAGAGTTCTCATTGAGTTCGTCTAATTTTGATCGTGAGAGATCTTCAAAACCTATTTTTCTTTCCAGGTCTCGGCCGCATGCAAGAGTTTGACTTCTCGCTCACGCCCTTGCTGACATGCTGCGGTTTCTTCATCATGTACTTGGTGGAGGAATTAGTTCACATGTACATCCACCATCGGGAAAGGAAAAACGGGCAGGTGGCGCCACTGGTGCGCAATTTGAGCGTGCGTCGCAGTCGCGCGGGCACCGACAGCAATGGCGACCAAAGCATTACCAACTCAACAGCTGACCTCGTGGATTCAGACTCACTTAAAAAAAAGGTTTGAACACTAATTCCTTAGTTCTTCTATTGTAAACCCTTGTACAAACCTTGTTACACTGACTGAAGTAATGAACCACTATGGGTAATCCCCCTTATTTTTCATAAAAACTAAAAACTATCTTTAACAAAACATTTTTACTAACAAAGGATATGCTACAGAATAGATACATAAGAGATAGTTTGATTAATAGTTAGATAGTACATAAAGTGTTAATCCATATCTTCGATAGTATTATTCACATTTTATCGAAGTATTAAGCATGAGTTTTATTATTGTAACAATAAAATCAATTAGTATCTTTATTCACAAAGACATTGTGTGACATTGTGTATATACCTACCTACTTCATAAAATATTGTTTTGCGTGAGATTAAGTAAATACGTAAATTGAAATTGAATTGAAACGCAAAATTTATTCGTTTTGCAAATAGGTAAAACTTATTCTAATAATCTCACAGGTATTATTTAACGAGATATATCTATAGACGTAATAAAAACAATCGTTAATCGATACTATCATGTGACAAAGCAATTTGGATTTAAAAATCTTGATACAAAATCAGATAAATTTAGGCATTGTCATACTTATGAATTTTAGGTAGCTACTAACTTCAGTCATTTTGTTAGGTACGTGAATAAAAAAATATTTTCACGCTCTACCTTTGTTATAAATCAATAATTTATTTAAAAACTGTAATAATGTAGAGCTACTATAAATACTCGTAAGAGTGTATCTTATTTATAATCTCCCAAGGCTATAAAAAAGTCTAAGTGTGTGAGTCAAATGAAATGCTTAAAGTTATTTTATTTTATTTTATTTGTTTATTGAATTAATATCTACATACCTATCTACAAATTGCGCTATTAAAGAATTTATTGCCTAAACTTGCTTACCTTTTTAGACGTGGCGCGCGCCCTTCCGTAGACCTACCTCATAAAATATTTTCGATTATTAAATAATATCAAGCTGCTTAAAGAAAATATTATTTTCACAACATTACCATGCAAATATACAATCTCATTAAGCAATTTTCTTTAATTTCAGGATCCTGAAACAACTCATCATCATGGCCACTCCCATAACCACAGCCACATGCCTCCCCCGGTGGGTGATGACGTAACTTCTGCCCTGCGCGGACTGCTTATCGTCCTGGCTCTTTCTATCCACGAGTTATTCGAAGGTCTCGCAGTTGGTCTTGAATCGAGCACCTCCCACGTTTGGTACGTGAAAATCGTGAAAATACTAACAACGCCATCTAGTGTCGAGTGGCTTAACTAAAAAAAGCACTGCAAAGCATGTCACTTAATAACTACTCTACTCGACGCTAGATGGCAGTGTACTAGTATTTTACAAAAGAGGTTTTATTCATTTTTTATTTTATTTTTCCAGGTACATGTTGGGCGCTGTTTCAGCACACAAACTTGTCATAGCATTTTGCATTGGAGTAGAACTTATCGCCACCCGAACCAAGACTGTGTTGGCGATTGTGTACATCACAACTTTTGCCATTGTCTCTCCTTTGGGTATCGGCATTGGTTTGCTCTTGGTGGGAGGTGAGGGCGCCACTGCTGCGGGCGTGTACTCCGTGGTCCTGCAGGGTCTGGCATCGGGAACACTGCTCTACGTCATCTTCTTTGAAATCTGGAAGGGCGACAGAACTGGTATTTTCCAATACATCGCATCGGTCGTCGGATTCTTCATTATGTTCGGATTGCAGCTTCTAAGTAAGATATCGTTCATTAAATCTTTAATTTAGGTACTAATTTAAAACTTTAAAGTATCCAACTCCAACATTAAGTTAAAACTCGTTAATATTCGATAAATTCCTGTGGGAATTAAACGATGACTATGGGATAATGATTTTCAGACGATTGATTTTTGCTAGTTCTTTAAGCTGCGTTTTAGCTGGAAAATTACAATGTCATAGTACCTACCTACTTCTTACTACAACACAATTTTCTTTTGATTTCAGCTGGACACTCGCACAGCCATGGCGGACACGATCACTCCCACAACCGAAGATAAGAAGTTTTCGCCATCATAAAAGTTACTAGAACAATACTTACTAAGTACCTACTTACCTACTTAACGTTTAACAATGTGATATAATTTAAGGCTAAGTTTCTTTCTTGTTCTCCAATGTTGAAGTCCTTCAATTAATTTCGGAAGAGGCAGGTCATTCGGTCAAATTTATCTTACTTTATTTGAATTTGAAATAGATTAAGAACTCTAACTTGACGCACATATCTAAATGTAAGTAGAATTAGTTATTTATTAAAATTGAAGGACTTCGAAACTTACCTTTTATGTAAAACTAAAAATATGCAGGTATAGTAAATAATTAATTATGCCTATAATGTATGAACGTCTAACAGTTATAAAAAGCTAGTTTAGCAAAAACTAGAAACATCACATCCAATAAGTATTAATAAGTTAATTTATAAACAAGGTGAACATAATAATTAGTTTATTATTGATATTCAAAAGTATGTTCAATCTAGTCAACGCCGTATGAGTAGCAGAACCTAATCAAAATTTAAACAGTTTCTTATAAATTAGTAACACTTTATTCTTCTTTCTTGTAACAAAAAACATTGTTTCTTACGATAAAACATAGTTTCAACTTTCTTAAACTTATAACATTGGACTGTTACTGTCTGTGATACAGAAGATGATGTGGTTAACATACTTAGGCCATTATTATAATACTAATAGATAAGTAAGTACAAAGAGTTGCAGATGTAATGTAAATAAATAGTTACTCGGAAGTAAAACGGATAATTTTGAAGTACAGTGTTACTCATATTCTGCCAAGATTTTGACACAATTATAAGTTATGTAAGATTTAAGTTATTAAATTAACGAAATAAAATCTTGGGGTGTGTTTAACAAAGCAGAAGTGTAAATTACTTATATTATTTTATACGTTGTTTGTAAATAATAAACCATTGATTATAACACAGACTTTTAATAAGATTTTACTACGACCAACCAGATTAAACTAAGTTTTGCTAACTTAATGTTGCGCATCATTGTCACCTAGAGATGGGTAGTGGGTAAAAACCCATTTCACCCGATTGGGTTAAAACTGGGTGATTTGGGTAAACACCCGGTTTTTACCCATTATCACCCATTCTGGTGGGTGAAAACAAAAATAGCGTTTTTTTAAAGTGAGAAGTGGTATTTGTTGCTAAGGGGGCGTTCTAGTGTTACGTAATGCATTCTGGAGGGAGAGGGGGTCTTGAAAAACGTTACAATGCGTTACAGTGGCGGAAGGGCGGTTCGATTTCAAGTTTTTAAGTAGAAGTACTTTGTAGTTGGTGTTGTTATTTGTAACTTTATACCGTAATGTCATCAAAGAGAGAGTTTGGCATATTTGGCATTCCCCCCCCCCCCTCCATGTCCTTGCCATGATCACAAATTATTGTGTTCCTACTAAATTTCTACTAAATCGGTTCAACGATTTTTGAAATAACACCATTTTATAAAATAATTGGTCACATCATCATAACGTGATCAATTTTACGATTTGGTCACGATATTAATGCATATTAGTGTTAAATTTGACTTATTACTTATTAATCAATAAACTTAAATGAGAAAAATTCAATAAAAATAGTACAAGTTTTACAAAACAATAAAACTTGTATTATTGAGCAGAGACGATGCACAGCATCTGGTGAGAGATGCGTCTACTTCCGGTGTAGTTTTTTTACCATTTCATACCTTAAATGACGTCATTTCCGCAATTATTTAATAGGAATTGATTTGACTTACTTCCGTTTGCCGCCATTTTAGTCACCTGGGGGCGAGCTTGCTCGGAGTTCTTCATAGAGAGCTCACCAGGAGGCCTTCTCGGGATGCTGTGCATCGTCTCTGCTCAATAATACAAGTTTTATTGTTTTGTAAAACTTGTACTATTATTCGGCATGTGACGATGCACAGCATCTGGTGAGAGACTTGTTTATTAGCTCCTGGTGACTACTTACCAATGGCGCTATGTGATGAAAGTTTTCGAGTTTCTGTAACAGAACTAGATTAGAACATGATTAATTTCAGGGTATTAACATGTTTTGTTCTAAATGCCCAGTGAGAGCAGCACTAATATCATAAAGTAGGAGGGTTTGTACTTTTGTATGTTTAAAATGAATAAACTGGAAAGCTACTGAACTGAATTCAGAAATTCTTTCCTCATTAAAATGCAGATTGAGTGTGTATTGATATAATTTGCCCGCATGGCAGTAAGATTCATGCGAGTCATCAACATAAGTTTATAATACAGGCGTACGATGTGATTGAAGAGTATCCAACATGCATGNCAATTAAATGTAAAATAATGTCTTAACCTGTGGTAAATATACTTGTTTCTTTTTGTTTCAGAGCAGAAACACAAAATAAAGAAAAAACCAATAGCGGCGACCATGAAACCGATTTTTTCTCATTTAAAGTAAGATAAGATAAAAGTATAAATAATAAAAAAATATATGTTATGTTTGTTGTTTTATTTAATGTCAAACATGCATATTCATTGCAAGTTTGTTAAGGCAAACTTACATATTATTTATAGAAGCAGACATAATGCAAGTTTGTTAAGGCAAACTTACATATAATTTATAGAAGCAGACATAATGCAAGTTTGTTAAGGCAAACTTGCATATACTTTATAGAAACACATTAATGCAAGTTTGTCGCTCGGAAACTAGAAAGTTTGATTTAAACTTGCCTCAAGTTTACATACTTGCCATGGCAAATTTGAAACAAAGCTTCATTTTTGATACATCAAACTTACTGCAAGTCAGATTCAAGTTTAAATTGTTATCTGGAGGTATAGTGTAGGTGCAACCACAGGTGCAACGCTTTATTAATCTAAGAGTGCAACATAACTTTTCGTAAATCCAAACAGTCACCCCATGCCCCATAAAATAAAAGTACCTACTTACATCCCATAGAATACCTAAGTAGGTATAACTACCTACTGTGTTGGGATAGAGAACTCCAATCTCCTATTTATAGACCATTATCAAATAAATTATGAAAGAATCCGTATCCGCGATCCGCCTCGATTATACAGCGTTTCCGATCAATATTTACAGAACGAAGTACCTATCAAGGCCAAAATCCAATATTCAGTTCGAATAACAGATCGGTTGCAGTGTGCCATAATTCTCTAAGCAGTGTGCAGTCGTTCTAAAAATCATTTGGCTTCGATTCTATTATAGATGACCCACGCTGAACTGTCCCGCCAAACTCAATGACAGGGGGGCGCTACCATCGTGCAACTATATGGTTTCCAACATGGCAAAAATCTGAACCAGCGATCCGGTATTGACGGTGGCGCCCCACTGTCAATGTCATCGACAGGACAGTCCAGTATTTTGGAACTATAGTAGGAAATCTTTACACTAAAAAGAAATAAAAAATAATCATTGAACAAAATGCGTATCGATTTCATTTATGTGCGAGTACATGTCGTGTGTTTTTGAGACGGTAAAATAGTAAAGCAATTTATTGTTGTCTTGTCAAACTTGTCAAACAGACAGTGACAGTTACGAAAAGATCGACATTTTCAATTGCTTGCACTTTCTTTCTGTCGAATTAAAATTAATTTCACTGCAATTTCACGCATTTATTTACGCTTCACTATATTCCTGTAAGTATACAGTTCAATTTCAGCATTGCTTTCCATTGTGCAAACGACTAGATCTATGAACTAAAAGTATTCAACAAAAACCTTGTATGTAATTTTGTTCAGTAGTTGTTTGTTGTTGGTATTTTTTACTCACATCGCGATGTAGGTAATATGATTTTCTCTAAGAACTCATCGCATAATTTTACATGTGATCAATGGTTAGAAAGTGAAATGTTGTGACATAATAAACATAATCCAGTTGAAAGGTGAAATTACGAGGTGGATAACCTTGCGCCGTTACATTAGAGCAGGCGCTAATAGAAAGTTATTTGTTGGCGTACAATCTATAGCAGTCGTTAGTTAGTATCGCGAGAGACTTTGGCGTTGGTGCATAGCTTGTAGTGTTAGTTATTTATCAACATATTTTGTGTAAAATGATTGGATTGGTTGAATCTGCTGTGTGTCTCTCTGTTGCTGTTGAAAGTGAGTTTTTATGCTTTGTCATTGAAGAAAGTCTTACAAGCCCAATAAAAATGTTTGCCAATTTTTATTTTTTTCTTTCATTACAGGTGAATCAAGACCACCACTCCTCAGAATGTCAACCTCAGGTCTGACGTCAGAAGCGCAGTTGCGTTACATTCTGCAGTGGTTCGAAGAGTTCAGTGAGCTACAGCGTGACGACTTCTTGCCTGTCCTCGCAGCTGCTCGTGGAAACCAGGCGGATCAGCTGGCTGCTACGTTGGCTGCTATGACATGCCAGGACAAGCCTGTCAGCTTGTTTCAATGCCGTGTAAGTTTTTAAACCTCCTATATCTATGTGAAAATGGCTCAAACAGAATTATTTCTATTTGTAAAACTGCAGAAATCAACCTAAATCCACACTAATAGAACAATGTAGATAAAACATAATATTATCTACAAAAGATGTTTGTTCAAACAACTATGCAGTAAATTGCATAGTTCAATGTCAACAGTGAGCAAGGTATCATGACTAATACATAAATTAAATACCTGTGTAAATTCTTACTCCTGTTACCTGATTATTGCAACATTTCAATTATGTACTATTAGCCAATTTAGCCAATTTAGTCCATTATTGTGCTAATAATTACACTATATTAAAAATACTTATTTTTAAACTTTAGTCAATCTACAAATTCAACAACATTTTTTACTAATTAATTTCAGATTAAGTTGTTTAATGAGTGGTATCCCACCTGGGCCGAAGAAGAACAGGACCGATTGATCAAAGGTGTATCGGAAGTGGATCCTGAGTTTGGTGAGAAACTGCAGGACTATCTTACTAACGGACCACCTGTGAACGGAGAATTTAACTTTTTAATCGGAGAAAATTTGGCACACGAGGAGGAAAATAAAAAGGAAAATGAGCAATGGAATAATGAGGATTCGGTAGCGCCTGCAGAGGAGGAAGGCCAGGGGATATCCCAAGACAACATTCCAGTAGAAATTGCTGCCGCATCTTAAAATGGGTATGCACATTGTTTTAAAAAGAGCCATTAATCTAAGATATATCTCATAAGGCAGCAATTTCATTTCTTTGAACCTATTGTCTATTTTTTTTCTTTTTTCATACATTCCCATTACTTCAAAATAGAAACTATTCCATTTTTACTTAACATACATTCCATTTTTCGTACTTTATTTTAATAAGAATCTCGTGTTTACTATTTTATTGTTAGAATAATTTTATGAGAGCCTTTATTTATAAAATAGATTAATGACTTAAATCTATTTAAATGTATTTTTAAGGATACTATACTTTGTGAGCACATTTATGAATATTATGCCAAATATGAACCAACAGTATTTGTGAAATGATCATATTTCAAAAAACGTCTAAAATATTATACTGATTTTTAGATCTGAAACAAAAAAATATATTTTTAGCCCTTAGTTTCTTTTTCATAAAGTGATGTTTATCAATATTTTTTGCAAGTACAAAGCTATTCGTGCCAAGGTATTGAGATGGAATTACTATTATTAGATATAAAGTAAAAAGTCATGGCACTATTTATATTACATGATTCAATACAAAAAAGGTATGTGTGTGCCAAATTGCATAATCATGCTTATTTTGAAAGAAAGAAAGAAAGAATTTTGGGTTACATTATTACCTTTTCTACTTACTACAGCAATATCTACTTATTTTAAGACTACTAAATTGAGATAATTATCTCTATTGATTGTATTGGTTGGCTTTCAATATCATAAAACAATAATTATTTAGTAAAATATGAATAACTTATGTATTAATAAACACATTCCCATCGTATTGATGTACCTTGAAGGTTACTATTATTATTAATATAAGTACAGATGTAATAATATCGTATTGCTTTTTATATTGTCAGAAAATAAAACTGTATGGGATTGAGTGATAGCTGGTGCTTGGAAATTTGGATTGAATGAGGATAAATTGCTAAATGGAGGCCATTTTTAGAACTAGAGACTTATATTATTTACATATAAAAAATAAATTAATTTTGGACATCAAGATGTTATTTTATTCGTTGGAACAAGTAAACCCAAAGTAAAACAATCGTCACATTTAGGTAATATAATTTATTTATTGGTACTTACATAATAAAAATGCTTACGGTAGCTATAATACCTTTGTTCTAAAAGGCAAGATTTAAAAATCTACTGTCATGGCACAGAGTGACTATACATTACATTTTGAAAGTAACAATCTCGTTTTTAAGTGAAACAGTGATCAAAAATAATTAAAACCATAAGCGAATTAATCATTAATTACAAAGTATGAAAAGAGAGATCACATCTGCAAGCGATTTTATTAGTTGTACTGCTTAACAAGTAATAGGTTGAAATCAGTCAATATTAGAACTAGGGTTTGATCTTAGACAGTATCCAGTCGACGTAGGCCGTGACGCGGGTGTACACACCCGGCCAGCCCGGGGTCCCGCATGGCGAAGGCCCGTACGAGACGACGCCGAAAGCAAACCAGTTGTTATATTTGTTCACTTTGCCCATGAGCGCTCCTCCCGAGTCTCCCCTGCAGGAGTCTTGCCCTGCCATACCGCCAGCGCACATCTGCTGCGAGACTATCCGGCGGTTCACCCTACTGAATACGCTGTCGCACTCGCTGTTACTCACCACTGGCACCGATACTTTGAGTTTTACCTCTGATTCCGAGCCTGGAAAAACAAATGCAGTTCCACATTAACGAATGAATTTCGTATCATCAAAGTTATAAATAAGTCATCGAGAAAAACCACATTAATGCAAAATACAGCCACGTATTTAAAAAAAAGTCGTTTACTGGCATGTTCTTTACGTCAGTTACAATCCGGTTTTAAAATTTATACGTAAGTAAGGTAATCGTAACATCTATCGGCATAGAAAGTGGCAAACATTTTTTTTTTGCTTATTTCCTCTGGCGATCTGTCGCTGCGTTTTTCCTAAAAATACCTACTAGTTTCCTGATTTATCCTCATTTTGAAGAGCAGACTAAAAAACTTACGTGTTTCTGTTTTACCCCACCCGGCGACTTCCATATCGTAGCCCTCCAGTGTATTCTGTCTTAGGTCACTCATCGTTGGCAAGCAGATAGGCCGTACGAAGTCTGAAATAATGATGAAATAATGTTAAATTATCTCTACTAAGATTGTGAGTTTAAATTGGCACTAGAAGTCCACAGAAACACGACAGACAGAGTAGTTGATCACTATCTCATAAGCAATCACCTGTGGACCAAACTAATTCTATTTCGTCTATCGAATTTTTATCAATGAGCTTCTGAGAAATATTAAAACATTCAGATTTATGTTTATGTTACAGGAAATGTATGAAATCCGTCATTGTATACAATTCCTAGGAATTGTGTATAAGTCCTAAAATCACCCGGAAATGTGTGATGTAAATTATATTACACACATTTCCTAGGAAATTTACACATTTCCTAAATAGCAATCGGAAATGTAATTAAGATTTCAATAATTACCTACGAGTGGACATGCGGTTCGAGGGGAGGATATTGCATCATCCGATTACGCGGGGTCTCTATCAAATCGCCAAATTTTTTATACGCCTAGTTGTCTATGGCACACAAATTTTAAGCCTAAAATTTTTTTACACAAAATTATTTTTATTACGCCACTTTTTTTCTCCCGAAACTTAAATGGCGCTACCGCGCCGCGGCAGCTGTGTATGTGTAAGGTCGCAAGTCTAACCTAACCTAACCGAGACTTTGTTATCCAGCTACAGGAGTACTAAAACCTTCATGTCAATAAAAGTTTAATAAAAGAGTTTTAAAATTAGGGAAAACAAATACTTCAGCGTAATATGCGTGATGCCGAAAGAAAGGTATGCCAATAAATTTTAGGCAAATATTTTTTTCGGCCAAAGTATAATAATGCGAAAACAACTGTCAGCAGGCTAAACAATAATAATAATATTGTGAGTTCAAAGTACCTAACGGCCGATGTGGTTTGGCTAAATGAAATTTTAGGCGTACCGAGGGGCACCCGATCACGCGAAGGCGCTTGTGGCGCTTAGTTTTATACATTTCCTAATACAATATTGGAATTCTATAAAATTCCTAGGAAAAGTATACATTTCCTAGGATATGAGCGTATTAAAAAATCTCTGAAGCAATATTTTAAACATTTCCTAAATAGCTTCGGAATTGTATACATTTCCTAGGAATAGTATACAATTCCTAGAATTCATACATTTCCTGTAACATTTACATAAACAATACCATGACTGCCAAGATAAAATAAGTAGATGATGCATAGCCGAGAGGTCGCAAGAGTTATCTGCCGTTTATCGTTTCCTCGAAGATCTATTTAATAGGTTTATGAACTTGTACATTCTAGTTGACATATCTATCTAATTAGTACTTAGTTGCCGTATTTAAGTTGATCTGTCTGGCATCGTCGCTCATCCAGCAACTCGCACTGAACACATGGAAAGTTTAATCAGAACCGTGGAGGAGAATTTAGCATGCACAAGAGGCAATGGGGAGGGTTTTCAGTGATATTTTACTTTTAGACGTTGACAATGAAAGGTTCTTTAGTGTAAACCACTACTCCCGTGTAAAAATAAAGTATTATGTACCATTAAACTGCGCATTGTGCTCCAGCCTCAGCAAAGCAATGTCGTTGTGTTGGTTTGAGTCTGCTGGGTCGTATTTCTCATGAGCGATAATTTCCTCGACGGGTATGTCCTGTGGAGGCCCGCTGCAGTCGTCCCCGATGCAGTCCACTGCACTCGAGGTGTTCCACTCACCGAGCCGGACCTGGGATCTGGAAGGTGTTTTTTAAAGGTTAAGTTACCTTCTCTTTAGGAGAAGCTGGGAAGCAAACATCGTTAGATAACTTTCTACAAGAAATGGCAACGTATTTGATATTTGATGTAGCTTAGCTTTAGATCAGCTTTAGATTGGGTCTGCGGATTTTACCAAAGCAGAGAGGAAGCAGAATAACTCATCAGATTTCCGAACCGAAGCTGAGCGGAGAGGTGATGTGGGAATAGCGAAATCTGATTGGTGTTATTATTGATAAATTGATTGGTGACATTATTAAAACAAGTCATCTCCTGTCCTATCTTCGCTTTGATGAAAGCCGGGCTTTTTAATCTTTACTTAATTTAAAACAAACTGCATAGGTAGGTACTTACAGTTTCCAATTGGTAGGAAGATCCTCTCCTTTGACGCAATGGGCGGCGGTGAGCACGTACCTCGCAGAAATCAATACTCCCCCGCAGTAGAATCCCCATCCTTTGGCTGTAAAATAGACGCAACTGTTACACATTTTAGACAAAAATATGTATATGCCCATGACGGGAAATCTTTTCTGTCTCAGATCGCATAGGTATTTGCTGATTCTATTATGTACATACTTTAATCTGTGTGCAAAAATGATTTTCGTCCCTGCGCCAATGTCTCTTGTGAGCGTAGGTATCTTTAGTAACAAGCCCAACGAAGGTTATCAAAATAAAAAGATTTCACACTTACGTTTGTCATACCGCAGCAAGGTCATCCAGGGATGTTCATCAATCTCCGCCCTGGTCCCTCCCACGATTCTGTCGTCATTCTGTGCGCCACACTGATCGAGTCCGGGGAGTAAGTTGATGGGTTTCACCCTGGTGATGCCGGCTCTCTCGGCTGTGTCCACGTCTAAAGCTGGCGGGCCTAACCCTGGAGGGCAGCAAATCTGAAAGGATAAACGGTTTTTTATACATTGACTGTCAGAATTACTTAGTACAAAGAAAAAAAAATGTGTTGCTTCTGGCCAAAGAAAGTATGTACTATCGGCCACAGTGTTAACTTATCTATTTCCGTTTTTGCTCTCGCTCTCATCAAATGGTGATTCTTTGCGATAGAACGAGACGACATGACCAGCAATGGGTAGTTAACACTGTTGCTGATAGTACATATTTACCAACTTGAATATTCTGATTCGGTTTTTAGTGGAGTTAATTATTTTATTTTTTGGGCGTGAGAAAATTTTACGCTTTCGATTTCAATAGCCTGACTTTCTTCGTTCGTATTCCATTACTCATCTCTCCCTCATGTAGGAATCAAGCAATAGCTGCCTCTGTGTTTACTGGATCAGTTCAGCGTTTATTTACCTAGTACTTACTTAAGTAAATAATTAATCAACGGATTGAAATTTACCATGGGTTGGTCCCCGTTGAACCCGCAATGCAGACTGCGCAGGAGCCGCGCCAGGGTGGGCGTGTTGCCCTGGTTACGAAGCTGATCGTATAGGCTCGTGCATTCTTTGAGCTCTATGCATCCTGCACCGCCGTTGCATTTTTCTGGAAGGTAATTTTGGGATTCAATGAGCTTTTGGAACAACAGTACCTAGTTGGTTGTTGAGGTTACAACATTTGTAATTGCATACTTTTCTCCTATCATTAGGAACCTACTTTACCGATTAGCTATTTGAGCGAATCAGCGTGGTCATTAATTCGGACAGAACTCCTCAAGTGTGGTTCCGCCACTTAATTCCCGTAGAGCTCAGAGGTAAGTAGGTACATAATTATTGTAGAGGTTTACCTACTTAAAATTAAAATGCAACGTAATCTGTGTTATTTTTAACTTTGTTTTCATATCTTTCTTGAAATTACTGTTACAGTGGAATAGCTGACCATTAAATAGGAAATGTGGGTAATTATTTCATTACACAGCTCTCAGCCATTAAATAACAAGTCTATAATCACAGAACCGGTTTGTATTCTATTTTTGAAGCAATAAATCTAACGCTATCTTTCGATACCTAGCATTGAAATTACCACTATCAGCTATTATAAAGAAACTACAATTTGGATTTACAGTTATGATGACGTGTTAATAGGGTATCTTCCTTAAACTGTTAAGACTAGATTTTCAGAATGGGCGACGCTTTTGGGGTGATTAAGCTTTTGGTTTATTATATTAACTCTACATATAGAATTACTTAATAAATTATCATAAGTGTACCAAACAAAATGGACGGGAGATAGAACTAACCCTTTTTGGAACTACTGCCAAAACCTCTCCACCGTAACGTAGGTTTGATTGGCTATATTTACATGCATCATACGCCCTACATACCTATGTAAAATTTTTGCACTAGGTGTGGAAAACAGCAAGTAAGGATAAACAAACGCATCCTCTGAATGGTACATCCCTGTTAAGACTAAAAGACCAAGCGAACCCGCCTTAGTATAAGGAAAATAGCATAAGAAGTATAATTTAGTGTCGTCGGGTTTTCCCAAATTAATACATATTTTTGGACTATGTAGTATGACTTACAGGATGTTCCAAAAAGTATGTTCTAGTATCCCAGATCCAATAGGTTTTGAAACGTATTTAAAAACTACCGAGTACCTACATACCTACTATTTCGTAAAAAAATATTAATACAACAGAGTTGAATAGGTGATGTACTTAGGTATCTAGTAGAAAAGTTCAATTGGACTCTGTAGGTGTTTAATGCTGTAATATTTTGTCACGATATCACAGAATAATTTTGGATTTAGGAAATTGGGATAGAGGTCAATATTACAATCTTTGTAGGTACTTATCACCCGACAGTAGATGAACGTTTCCAAAAAATCTAAAATTTTAAAAGTATCGCGTTTGTTTAGCCCGTGAATTTATCTATGTATTTTAAATATGGTTTACTGTATTAATTCCTTCAATGCAGCACTCATAAGATAACTTATTAACAAAAATGTTGTGACTATTTTCCTCAAGCCTTGTTTTGCTTTATTCCGCCATTACTCATTGTTTATTATTATTAGGTTTCATCACATTAATACACGTAATTAGGTCTCATCATTCGAGGATTCTAAGAAAATTATGCCTTGAACCTTGATATTATAATGATGACAACTTTTACACTGTGATCCCTTTGGGCTTCTCTCATTTTGTTTTTATAAGATTCTACAGTTTTAATGGTTCTTATATGCATTATCAGTAATAAAACTTTTTGAAGGTACTTATTCTTCGTTCAATTAACAGCTTTCAAGTTGTATAAGCTGTTTAATGATTTAAATTTAATTTCTGTACTTATACTATCTTTGAGTCGCCAAACCAACAACGAAGGAGAGGCAGACCTAGCCTATCATCACAACGTCTCTTCCCATCCCAAACTATACAAATGTCAAGAAAAATGATTGGCATTGAAACTGTAGGTTTATCCAAACAGCATCTCAGTTATTTACATTCGTTTTTATTAGTTTTTACTGTTTTTATAATAATAATGACACGGGATCGCACGATAAGCTTATTCCTACCAAATTAAGACAACACTGTATGAAACTTAGATAAGAAGAGTTTGAGTAGTAAGCAAACATTTACAAATACTTAATCCGACCACAGATACCTACTCGTACTTATGTTGGGTAAGTAATTAATATGACATTCTATGCTCATTAGAAGCATGCCCAGCATCTTGATTGCTTACCAAAAAAATTCAAGACATTCAAATATGTATCCAAATAGTTCCAAAAACCGGTAGCGCATTTTCTTACATAACTTTTCAATTCCTATCATTGGAGGTCCGAAAATATTTCTCATACAATTTGATACCATAATGATTATTCTTCATAAAAAATTTAAAACCTACATATTTAAAAACATAATCATTGTTATTCATAATGTCACTAATCATACACTTAGTTTTTACTAATATTTGTTTTCATACGTTTTTCTATACTAATGATCGAAACTCATAATCATTCGAATAAATAACTATAATATTCATAAATGTGATTTATCCTAATATTTGTTTTCATAAATTTATTACTCATAAGTGTGTTTATCCATATTATTGAAAATCATGATGTCTATATTCGTATTAAATCGTATTTTAACATTAAATTAATTTGAAATGGTCCAAAACAGGCAATATTTTGTGCCACAAAACTAACGTGACAGAAACGAATCGCTGCAAAACCGACTCCACGTAGTCTTGTCTGCCCTACCCCTAGAGTGTAATTTAAAAGCCGGAGGCGCGGAGGGAGGGCAGCCCTCGCCCGCTGTAACGAGGCTCAGGCGCCCGGGTGAGCTGGAGCGGCTGAGGCTGGTCGCCGAGGCGCCGAAGGCGCCGATGGCGATCCAAAAAGCCGAAGCTGCGGAAGCAAGCGTGGGTGCCTGAGCCTCGTTACGCAAGGGCGGAAGGGCTGCACATCCCGCAGCGCCGGAGACGAGGAGATACCAATGCATGCTGCATGCTCTGCATGCTTATCTACTCTATTAAATTATATATGATTTTTTTAAAGATACGAGTATGTCTGTTATAAAGTAAATTATTCTGAACAACAACATTATGAGTTGAAGTATGTTCTTAGTAACAACATTATTAATTAAAACAATATGATCAATGAATGTTATGAAGAAAAAAGATCTGAAAATAAAAATTATGTATTTTAAATGGTTCTTGGTAGTAACAGTATTGATAAAAAAATTATGATTACTAACTGTTATGAGCTCCGATGGTAGTAATAAAAATGTATGAATAAAAAAAGTATGAAAAATAAAATTATGAAGAGTGATTATTATGAACACAAATCGGTAGTAAGACAAAGAATAGGATTTAGAATTTTATGTGAGCCAATATAGAACCCCAAAAACCAGCAAATCGCGCATCTCGTTTTGTAAGAATGTAAATATCAATTTGCCTGATCATTTTGTGGATAAACTGGTTACTTACGTGCGTCAGTTCTTGTCAAGGCGAGCAGAAAGATGCATACTGCGGCTGCGAACTTCACCAACATTTTAACACTAAACTATTATTTTGTTATGACTGTCTGAGTGTCACAGGTATGGACCAGAAGGCGGTTCACGGACGACTGATAGCTCAATTAGACGGCCGCGCGCGTCCGATCACCTCACATGAGGTTAATCAACAAAATAAGTTATATTTTTTCTGAAAAGACTCAAGTTGCGCGACGCGTGCGCTAGACGCCGCCTTGTGTTGGGATTTTCCTCGTACCCGTAGTTCATGACATTTATTTATGCTCGAGTGTGTGTTGATAAAAACAACAGGTCTTGTAAACTCGGCTCTGTGCTCGGCTCGATACGCTAATGGGCTTGATAATCGCACGATCGTAAATGAACTTTGTTACTCGATTTGCTAAAGAATTAGTACATTCCTACTAAGTTGCGATTAACTCTAAAACTTATAAGACCTTTGTTTTGGTTAGTAGATAGATATCAACAGCACTTGCTGGATATTAAGGCCTAAAACTCGTTTGATACAACTTTAAACGGTTTAAGTGACTCAAGACGATCTATTAAAAATCAGATTTTTATTAGGTACCTATTTGTTTTTAATATTAACAGTTAAACCACCAAATACCCAGCTCCCACTTAATTTTTGTTTTATGAGGAAAAAACACGACCTTTGGTACCTCTCATTCTCTTTTATAGCTTTTAGAGACCAATACAAAATATGGGGAAATACAAGATGACTTTTTATATTAGTTAATTATTGCTACTGTCATGGTTTTTATAACATTTAAATTAATAGAGTCCGTGGTATTAGGCTACTAGATAAATTATTTTATTATTTGCTGCTTATAAACTCAGGTAGGCGAAGGGAAGATAACCCTAATTAATGCGTTGAAGAATCTGAAATTCTGAATCAAATAAGCAGGTACCTAACGAATGTCACATTGTCTAGAAGTAACACTAGTTGTCCATATCGTTTTAGCTTTGATCGAAAGTTAAGAAATAATTTCATAGTAGGGGCTAGGGACTCGCAGTGAAAGTTGGAAATCCCCGAACAGATTAACACGACACTTGGAAAACCCTCGGGTTTGGAGCTCGACAGATCCAAACAATCAATCAATCAGTGCCTATAGGTACTTAATTCAGCAGAGCCTTTTTACCTTACGAATATAGAGGGTTAAGTATTCAGATTACAGAGTCTTGTTTATAAAACTGACGCACTGAGTAGGTCTACGATTGGTCTTTGTTTCTTAAAATGTAGTTTAATTATGCTCACTACAATCAGAATATAATAACTAGATTGCTACTGGTAGTTCTATAAATAAAAGCTCCCGATTAGTTTCAGGGCTTATGTAAACTTTTTCCTATAAATAATCAATTACATAAAGTAATAAACCGTTAGTTCTTATAGTACAATTTGTATCGTGTCAAGTTAAATTATTCAGTGGTGACTCACTAAGTTCTTTTGCCCTACACATTTGATTCAATGCAGTCCTTTCGTTATAAAATGAAACAATGAGTGTTCGTAATTTCCATTTACTAACATTGCATATTAATAACCGCATAGACACTTCGTCTTTACGTGCTAGATTCACATTAGTCGATATACAAGATAAAGTCCTCGGCCAAATGTCTGGCCAAATCGTTGAACAGCTTGAGCCCAATGGTGAAGATGAGTATGCTCTTGAAGAGTTGCCATCTGAAATGATCTTCTTTCATTTTCTTGATGAAGTTATTTGTGTCATTCCAGGTCTTTAACAATGTGCGCTTGAACGAAGTAAAGAACTGGAAAAGGGAATTTATGTTTCAGTCAAGGGTTTCAGAGGAAGAGGGGAAATGATTTATGGTAATTGAAAACTATTTTCATTACTTTTCAGGTTCGCCTTTATAAATATTGGTTTACGAAAACGATACATTCATGAAACTAGGTACCTCCTACCTTGCAAATAGTGCCTTCACGATGGGAAATTATGGTTGATCCTCTAGCTTGAGATAACTACCGACAGCTCTCACGCAGTGCTCATCATAGGATTCTTTTGATTTTTTTATGGCAATTGGGTTTATAGGTATGACCTTATTATAATACCTACTCCACCTACACCTTGGTACTTACTACCTACGGTGATTTCCTCAATACTCAGCGTTGACTAATGGCTAATGGATATCTGCAGTTAAAATGACATACAGTGTTTACTTCAATAATCTAAATGTGTAACAGGGAAAACGAATTCGGTTTGACTCATTAGGTACTTAACGAGAAGACATAGGTTAATTAGACTTAAATCACAATCGAAATGACCCAGGGAGCATAACTATGAGCATGACTAGCGTTTTCAATCTGTCTGTTACTCCTGAAAAAACAAATAAGTAAGCCCATCCCACCTTATGGGAAGTATGGGTCTTTGGAAGACTATAGTATTATTACCTACGTCTACTTCAAGCAATGGCGTCTATCTTATGGACCTTATGAATATTTTAAAATACAACCTAAAAGATAGTGGTGCTAGTAGTACTAGCATAGTTATTATAATGAAACCTAAATTACTATACAAATACAATATTTTCATGTCTCTAAACTTAATATTTTATAGCAAAGAAATCTATAAAAACAATAATAAATACTTATTTAGCTCATCAAAGTTACATTCGGCGAAGGGCGTCGTTGTCCGCTTTGTGCTGATCCCGACACAGTGCATGGAAAAACCACTGGTGTGGAGTTATTGACAGCACTGAAGACTGGGACCCTCTGCTGAGTGGTTATCGGGGCTCGAGGAATTGGCGTCGACTTCTGTTCAGCCGACTTTGAAAGTGGCCCAGTTGCCCCAAGTCCTTGAAAGTTCTTTGACACAACCGTTGTCCCCGGAGCACCTGCTCCTCTAGTACTGCCAGCTTGCCCCACATCATCTGCCCCGCAAGTGGTATGTCGACTTTGAGGCATATCATTACGATGTTTACGATAAATGGAAGTTACATTTTTATTGGTTTTTGTTTACTTTTACGTCATTATCTTAAATTGCATGCATAATTTATGTTTAAATTGTAATTGATGAAAGTGGAACAAAATAGTTTTTGAGATGATCAATCAATGTCAAATTATCAAGCACAGATGATCAACCATGAGTTTAGTGAAGAAGTATAAAGAAGTTTCTATTTTAGCTATGTTATGGCAAACTTTCCAATACACTTATTTATTTCCATCTAGAGACATTATGTTTTCGTAATAGAATCATAATACTACGAGGAATTAAGAGTTATCAAAATACATAATAAATCTAAGATCTCGCCTTCTCATCGAGATGTGTACGAGCAAATTGAAAGCGTGCTTATCGGTGACCTGCCGTCAGTTTCGAGCCTGTGGCAGGCCTTTTTGGAGTTAAATTCTATTGCTTATATCTTAGACAAACTGTCTACTCGCTAACAGCTATCCTACGAACATTTCTGAGCTCTTGATGGACATCGATTCCAGTCAAATGACGATTTCATAGAGAGGTTGACATGAAAAAACGGTCTTCCCTCTGCGATGTGCGCCGGCGCTGTTCAGAACTTGGTCTCGGGATAAAGCCACCAGTCTCCCGAAAGCGTCTTAAAACTTTCGAAACCCAGGACTGGCTTATGTGGCGCTGACGTGCGACAGCCCGCTGGCTGAGCCCTTCTTGCAATAGTGCAACGATTTGTGCTGCTTCTAAAGGTGTAGAATCCCAGGTAAAGTGTCAAAAGAAGCGGAGATGTGTATGAATCAACGTGCGAAAGCAAAAATCCGAAAACGCGTTCTTTTATAGGGGGTAAATAGGCCGCAACTCGCGACGTATCAAACAGTTCATACATGTCTTTTTCGTTACTTCTTCACATCAGCCGGGATATCTTTTTAAATACTGGTGTGATTTAAATGAATTTGGTATCAATTTAAAGATAAAAGTTTAATCTTTAAAATGGTGCCACTTTTTTTGTTCCTAACAAATTCGTTAGTACACAAGATCGCGTGGAAACAACTTCATGTAAGTGATTCCATACTTTTGCTCGCGAGTGTATTTCGCGCGATGTGCCGTCATCAGCATGAAATAAAACCAGTAAATTCAGTTCAATACATTAGGTACAGTCCTTTAATATTAAAAATGCTATAAAATAATTAACTAATCTATCATTACTCGTGGATATTGTCTAATATCCAGTCCATATAGTGGGCGACTCGCGTGTACACGCCAGGGAACCCGCCGATGCCGCATCTCTTCGAGCCGAAGGAGACGATGCCTCGCTGCACGTAGCGCTCGCCCCTGTTCAAGACATTACCAGGGTACATCAGGGGACCCCCGGAGTCGCCACCACATGAGTCTTTGTCTTGCACGCCGCCGGCGCACAGTTGTCGCTCAGAAATGCGTGGGTTGCTGAAATCAGTTCAACATATTGTTGTATTTTTCATTTTATTACCAATGTAAAACTTGTTCGAGGAGGTTTATTGAGTCATCCTGGTCTAGTTAGGGTATTTTTTCTTCACTTCGTCATCTGGAAAATCGGGCGATCCTCTAAATTGACTTGGAAAGTCTTGCCACTAGATAATGGAATCTTTTAGTTAGGTGTTTACCAACGAGACACCATATTACTAACGTTAATCAGTGATTGAAATTCAGGAAGTGAATAAGGTAAAGCGTCATATTTTATGGAAAACAGTTAAGGCACGTTAAGGCATTCATTCTAATTTTGTATGATGAGCCACTTTCTCTATACAAATATAGCTCTGATGGCTCTTTTACATTACCTACGAGATAGAGAATTCCTTAGCTTTGTCAATATTCTATTTTATTTTATTTATTTATTGTGCAAAACCATTCGTTAGTTTGTTGCAAATGTTTCGATATTTCACTTACTCTTTGTACACTTTAGTGCAAGCTGCATTCGAGACAATGGGTAGTTCTACACTGAGAAGCACCGGCGACTGCAGACCGTCCTCCGTGGCGCCCCAGCCCGCCACCGTCCCTGGCTGATCGTCCAAGTACTGGTTTTGAAGTTCAGGCGTTATGGGAAGACACACTGCCTTCATACTTTCTGCAAATAAGTTAAGCAGCTTTTTATGGATTTTGAAAATTGATTTTTATCAGCATTATTTTTCTGGTGAGTTGAGATATAAATACCAACGAGGAATATCAATGCAACACATAAACCTCGTATCCTATGAAGAATTGAACTCTGTTCGAGTAATGATAGTCATAAAAATATGAAAAGCTGTTGTATATTCATTTTTCTTCTGTACTCAAGTCATCTGGGAATTCTCCTATTTCTTACCTAAAGAAAAATCTGCGGGTTCTGACAGCCTCAGGAGAGCAAGGTCGTTGACCAGCGTCTCTGGATTGTATTGGTGCGTAATTACTGCTTCCACTGATACATTCTGTAACGAGAATTCACAAAGTTCTGAATTAAAAGAGAAAAAAAACTTACTAGCTAAGTGATTAAAGATATCAAAATTTTCCAAAACAATAATAGTCATTCAATAATATTTTAAAATGACTATCAATCAATGGCCGCCTACTCTAATGGTTTAGGTAATCAGCCTCAGAAAATTACCTAGGCATAGAACTAGAAAAGTTAATGAAGGAGACACCTCATGTGGATGATTTGTAAGAACTATTTATTAGTCCAAACAAATAAAGAAATTTTGACTTTGACTTTTGACTTTGACTTTGTAACTGGTACGTTTATTAAGAAGTCAGTATACGACAATATGGCAACGGGTTTTGAATCAGGCTGCCGAGTCTAGCGGTCAGAAGTGCGATCTCCATCGACCCCTAAAATGAACTATCGTGGTAAACCTACTTACTTCTAGCCGTAACATTTAGGTGTTTATAACCTAGCTGGAGGGGTAAGTGTGTAAAAAGAATTGTTTTTTTTTAAAGATTATTAGCAATAATAGGTGTGTCACAAATTACTAATTACTTTCCTAAAAACTAAAATAATTGATTACGTACCCTGACGTTCGGCGCGCAGTACAGCTTTTCCCCTACTCGTTCACAGTCGGGATCTTTTCGCACGTCGTGCTCCCCCAGGATGACTCCATTCAGCTTGAGTCGCTCCCCCAAATTCGAGACGCAGTGCGCGGCTGTTAGCACGTACCGCTCAGAGATCAGCGTGCCTCCGCAACTCAGCTTCGTTCCTCTTGCTGCAAAAGAACGTGTTAGATGGCTAAATAGAGCATTTGGGTTGGTTATATCAACAAGTCGAGCAAAGTCTGCAGCCACCGTATTGGCAGGTCGTATTGTTACGAAGAAGAATGTAGAAAATCTAACAGTTAAGTTCTCAACTTTACCATGTCACTTTTTACTTTCTTTTTGATCCAATAACTAGAAGAAAAATAAGTAGCTGCCGAATGAAAATTGCTGCTAGCCTTACATGTGGATCATATTTCAAACTTTAAATTTATCTGTAAACGATACATCTATTTTACTTATAGATTTCACCTACTAAGATTAACTTTTTGAAAACAAAGATTTTCTTTTCACTTACGTGAGCTGTAAGACAGGAGTACCATCCAAGGTATCTCGAACAGGCGAGTGGTGTTGCCGCCAAATATCCTGTCACTGTCCACGATACCACAGTTCTCAGGGAGGAGGTGCAGGTTCCGATGACCCTGGACGTTTGGGGGCTGACCACTTCTGTTCTCCGTCCCGGTTGACGGTTTCTTGTTGTCCGTGTCCCGGGTGTGAGGCTGTGAAGGCGTAGGAACGACAGCACTTGTAGGCTTGGGGTTGATATTACCCCAATTTCCTATGTCAAATCCCGGAGTAATATCATTGTCAATGTTTGAATGCGATGGGCAGCAGACCTGAAATGAATTCAGTAAAATCCTTTAGAATTATAACATGGACCTATAAAAAAAGGCGGACGGAACTCGCACTACAACAAAACTGTGACGCAAAATTTTGGCGTTTGTCTATTGTGTGAGTGAATTTAGGGATGCCATGTTAGCCAAAACATTTTACCCATTTATTTTAAGAAAAACATAGATCGGCAGATGTTACTTGGAAATGTAGACAGAATTATTCCGTGCCATTTTAAAAGGATGAAAGGTGAATGCGTTGAGGTAGGCGCGAAATTTTCAATGTTCAAATTTTCTTACATTGTTTGCAAGTCAGTGTGTCAGGGTATGTACATAATGTTGATCAAAAATGATTCACGCAGTTACAAATTACGAATCTTGTGTACATTATAATCATAATCTTATGCATCATCAATATATTATTATTTCGGGTAATTTTCCCACGTAAATAACTGAGAACACTGGTCTTTGACGTATTATTTTTTCGAGTGAATGACGTTTGATTTCAATTAATTTCAATATTTTAATGTCAGGAAATAAGTGATTGGATTATTATTTTGCCTGTGAAATGTGATTCCTTAATTTTTGTTTGTTCGAACAGAACGGTTTTTACACAATTTCATCACACAAGACATGTCGTATTCGTGTTGTTTTTTTGCTGCTTAAATGTGTCAACTGTGTGAAGTTTGCACTCGAAGTGGTGTAACAGGGTGTGAATGTGTGCGTGCCGGCCTGTACGTACAGGCAAGCTGGTGTATCCTAACGTCACAGTATTTTGTTGATGAGAATCCGTCCGACTTTTTTTATAGGTCCATGAATTATAATTATAAAGTAGTGTTTGCAAAGCGAAAAACGTTTATTTGCTCGAAAGGCTTATTAACCATAAGCTTTGGGAATATCAAAATAGCGTGAAACATACCAATGGCTCATCTAATTCAAATCCACAGCCGATTTCATGAAGTTTTCTCCTTATATGGAGAGGCATCGGGTGTCCAGCGTTTTGTATTTCTGACATAAGTGGTTTGCATTGAGTGAGTGGGATACATGATCCTCCCTGCTCGTCTTCATAACAGCTATCTCCTGAAAATACTGAAAAGCACCATAAAATATATTATCATACGTGTCAGCGTCAGGTACCTACACATTTATTTACAATTTAGTGAAATAACACTTATGTTTTTAGTCTTTAATTAAGTATGTTATATCCTTGTGTATCCGAGTTTGGTAATCGAAATAAACAAATTAGAAAATATTTTAGGAATATGAATATCTAGACACATTACGAAGTAAATAATTGAAAGATGATTCCTACTTTGCTTGGTAGGTGTATCTTTTTTTCAGTTTACTCGTTAGTAATTAGCTATGTAGTAGGTACCTGACAGGCAGGAACAATTAATTGCGCAAACATTTAATTTAATAACCTTCTTTCGCCGGTAGGTATATCTTTAGTGCGAACTACCTAATTACAATTCATAAAATTACTTTGCATATGTTCTTGATGAACAAGTTTCACAAATAGCAAGTTTATCCCTTTTAAAAGTAACGTGCCTTACACGTGCGCCACTTTCATTTAGTAAAGCTAGTAGGTACGTATAGGTAAATTGACTGATATTATACATATAAAATAACATCCGTCGATGCCGAGTATAATATAATTAGTTGTGCCCGCGACTTCGTACGCGTGAAAACCAGTTTTCGCAACATTTTTCATTATTGCTCTGCTCCTATTGATCGTAGCGTGATGTTGTGTAGCCTATAGCCTATCTCGATAAATGGGCTATCTAACACTGAAAGAATTTTTCAAATCGGACCAGTAGTTCCGGAGATTAGCGCGTTCAAGTAAACAAACAAACAAACTCTTCAGCTTTATAATATTAGTATAGATTTATTACCTTGAGATCTAAAAACTCCTCTATAGCATCTACGTATAGTAAAATGAAAAAATCATGTTGAACCACTTCTTAAGGGCCAAAGTTTTATTATGATCGTTGATCTTAGAACCTTAGACGAGCGTTTTAATTTGATACACCTTTAATTAATAGCAATTAAGACAATAATTATTATGACATGGATTCCACAGCCTGAATGGTCACCCTAGATTTTGCAAGAAGCTAGAACAGGTAAATGGATTTCGAGGAAGTAACAAATTAATTTAATCCATTTATTAATATTATGTACAAGAAAATACCTATGAGTTGACATACTCGTAATAAGTATATTCGTACAAACTACATAGTTGCACACTAACAAGTCCAACAACTGATTTACGTACATCTGTATTCAACTTATAGCTTAGTGAAATAAGTAGCATTTGACTTCGTAACGTAATCTATCTACAGGGTGGAAACGATAAGTGATCTCACTCGATTATTTCTAAACTATACAAGATATCCAAAAAATGGTTACTGATCCTGAAAGTGCTTCACGAGCTCTATCCAACAGTACCAATAATAGTTTACAAAATAAACTGGATCTATCTGAAAATTCAATGTTTCCAGTCTCCATACATTTAGTAAAACCACAGTTTATTAAAAACTATACAAGATATCCAAAAAATGGTTACTGATCCTGAAAGAGCTTCACGAGCTTTATCCAACGGTACCAATAATAAGTTATAAAATAAACTGGATCTGTTATAAAATTTCCAGCTTCCATACATTTAGTACTTCCACAGTCATGGCACTCATGTCTCGATAATATTATAGCAAGTAAAGCTTAAAACCAATGTTTTCCATGAATAATTTTAAATAAGAATGCAATTTACGAGTTAATTTTAAGTGTTTATTATTTAAAATAAAAAAATTAACAGTTCTAATATTATGTGTCTGGCATAGTGGCATACATTTAGTATGGAGGCTGAAAACATTGAATTTTCGAATAGATCCAGTTAATTGTGTAACCTATTACTGATATCGTTTGAAAAAGCTCGTGAAGCACTTTTAGGATCAGTAATCAGTTTTTCGATATCTTGTATAGTTTAGAAATAATCGAGTGAGATCACTTATCGCTTCCACCCTGTATACTTATAATAAATCTGTAGAGAGGTCAATTCTGTCTGACTTAGGAATTCCCACGGGAACAGGAATTAGTGGGAAAATCCTTTTGTATGAAAAATCTAAACCGCTTAAGTTAGACGCTTGAAATTTGGCATGCAGGTACCTTAGTAAACTTAAAGCTTAGTTACAACGGGAGTTAGCGGGAAAAAACATTTGTATGAAAAAATCGAAACCGCGTAAGACAGATGAAGGGGGTAAAACGGGATCCACGCGTACGAAGTCGCGGGCGGCCGCTAGTAATGAATGAATTAATTAATACACTATTCAAAGTTAGCGATAGACAATGATTATTTGATGATTAAGGACATCATCGAAAATGAATTAGGTACATCAAAATAAAAAGAGAATACATGAAGTCAATCAATTTGAATAAATACCTACTACCTATGTATTTTAAAATTGCTCATAGCTTTAAAAGCATAAGCTAACTTAATATTATGTCCAAATCTATTTATTTATGAATAAAACCAATCTTTTCAAAATCTCCATTGGAAAGACATCAACGAATTAGACTCTCGACTACGAAAAAGGATATTTTTAAAATATTAATTTCATAATTTTGTCCGTTTACTTTGCAGTTGATATTTATGTTTAATTCATTAATGATTGTTAAATAAGTTATAAGATGTCATAGGTACTTACGTTGTTTACGTTTTTAAGTATTTCCATGCGATAGCATTTTAAGTGTCTTTGTTATAATAATTAAAAGCAATAAAGATACCACAAACTGTTATTCCCCGACTTTAATTTATGTTGATTAAGAGATAATATTAATAGTTATTATTTTTATAACCTTATCATTAGAGGTTCTATAAGGTTAAAGGACAAGGTTTGATGTAACATTTATTTAAAGATAATATTTAACCTTAAAGCTATTTATTCATATTGCTTATTATAGTTACGGGGTTATTCCAATTTAATTGTTTAATTTTTCCGAAAAAACTCGAGTTCACTCCACTTCAAGCATGAGAAGTCCGATTTGAATCTAGGTAGATACCTACTGTTCTGTTTATAAAAACACAACTTCGAAGTTAAATACTTGATGATTGCGGTAGCGGTTTTTATAATGTAATTAAATAGTAATTAATTATGAATTTACTTACAGGTGTTTACTGGCAACAGTAGCGCCACCAGGAATCCAGCAGTCAACGAAGCCCTAGCCATTTTCTTATCACTATTTAGTCAGTTTTTTGAAAGCACTGCACGTGTCCACATATCAGTCCGTTTCCCACGAAGTCTAATACCATTTACTTAAATAACTTAATTAAATACGTAACAATAGCACTGTGACGCACTGATGTGTTGATCAGTCTTTTGAGATCACTTTATTCGGTGTAAATACAGGTTATCGCCGGGTCATGGCACGTTCGATGTTTTGTTGAATATATTTGAAGATATTGGAATGGTGTTTTGTGGATTGGCGAGGTAGGATGACGAGGATGTCATTACCATACTAGCTGCGCGTGAGACACGAGTGGACTGCCCAGACGCAATCTCGCCTTTTAGCTGGCAGCCGATAAATGCCGGCGTAATATAGATAGCTTACAAGTTGATGATTAATAGTAGGTAGCTAACGTAAATGTTTATCCCGTTGACCGTTTATTTTGATTGTTTAGTGATCGAATTAATAAGGCGAGAATTGACAATCGACTGAGCTTTATTCAGTTCAACATGTACCTACCTACTCGGTTCTTATAGGTACAGATACATAAGAAACTTTTTAACCGGTTGTCACATAAAAAAGGTAAAGTTGAAATAACGTAAAGCTTGCTGTGAATATCCAGTGTGTAGGGCATCGACATTACATTCCACAGTAAAGTGGAAACCTGCCTGAACAGCAAATGCAAGTCAATTTCTTTTTTTTTTCAAATTTTTGGCATTTTGGTAATTCAAACCGGGCAAACTCGTATTAAAACATAAATTCCCTCTTTGTATGCAACATAAGTAGGTATTTTATGACAATATGATAGAAAGCTTTCAGGCTTTCAGTGAGCTTTTCTGCTACGACGACGCTATTCTACCTTCATTTTCTTAACTTGTCGACCAACTACTACAACTTAAATGTACCATACTAGACTGCATCTCACTAACATCAGATGCGATTGCGGTCAAATACCTGCCTTGTATTGCATTGGTAGTGATTTATGCAATTGAGCCAAGATTAAATGCTCCAAAATATATAAAGTATACTTGTGACCAGACGAGACAGACAATCTATAAACTTTAGAAAGTGCGATTCTGTATATTGATAAGAAAAATAAAATACTAAGCGCATATTTACAGCTACTCAACCTACTTTTCTATACACAATTATTTATGTTTACTTAAAAAAGAACCAGCCAGATAAAGTTATTAATATCAAAATCAAGTCACGGTTTCATTACATCCGTTTACTATGATTGTTTACGTTAAAAAACCTTCGAAGAATTGGCTGATACAGTCAGCATCAAATAGTTCGTGATCGTGACACCCACAGTATTCTAACTCGGCCATATTTTTTTAATAAATGTCAACAGCCGCGCGGAACGTCATCGTATGACAACATGCGATAGGGCTGCCCACCTGCAGACCCTGTTTTCATTACATCTGCCTACTTAGAATTTCTATCTAGTTTTGTAAATGTATTTTGTGATTGTAATTTTTATTTTTATTTTAACAAACAAAATACTTTGTGATGAAATAGGATAACAATGCATGTTGTCTTGTCATTAGTAGATTTAATTAAAAAAATATATTCGTGTTAAGATTTAGTAACAAATCTTACCTATTTTGCGACCGTAAAACGTATGCGCCTCGACTGAGGCGTACAAAATGCTTGATTATTATACAGGGTGTTAGGTAAATGGGTTATAAACCCAAGCTGACACTAGCCCATGTTTACATGTGCATATAAATGGTATGGTGAAGTCAGAAAATTGATATCATCATTTTAATAATTTCAATTTTCATACAAATCTGATTTTATAATTTTATTTTGTATGAACATTAAAAAAAAATGATATCACTGACTTCACCATACCATTTACATGCATAAAATGTTAACATGAGCTAGTGTCGGCTTATAAACCCATTTACCTAACACCCTGTATAAATAGGTACTTGTAATTACTTTTATAAAAAAACTTACTGTTTAAAAAAAACAACACATTGTCCGTTTATTACTGTGGCACATTCGCGACACCCTCGACTTTTGCATGTCGAGCGCATACCGAGATTTGAATTTCGAAGGAAAGCTTGCGTTTCGTCCGTTTATATGAAGTTACAATACTGTATGATAATATTACCGTGCCCAAAGTAGCCAAAAAGTTCGCTACGTGTCGGAATAAGGTGTGAAGTGATGTCAACTTTTTAGTCACCGGGTGTCACGAACTATTTGATCCTGACTGTACAAGTTAGTGGGTATAGCTATAGATTATATCCTCATTTACATAGAATTGTTCTTTGTACTAGTTTTATGTTGTACTAGTTTTTGTAATTGATGGGATTGACCCGTGACTCATAATTCAATATATCAAAGTGATGAACAGTGTCACAACAGGAGGACCGGTCTCAAGTCTGGGTTTAATACATTCTTGCAAATCTACTTTTTATTATGTTTTTATGTGCTGATCGTCGCAAAACGGGAGCGTTGGAGACGAATGCTGTCGTTTAGTATTCTATTTACAGCTACAGAAAATGTATGAGCTTGCCTAACTATTATAATTACGCATTTTTAACGTGAGGCAATTTATTTAATTTCCAGTGTGTCTTTTTAAGTCTAATGCAGTCAAGAAGTTTGTTATCAAAGAATAAAGTAGGTAAGTAGGCATATAAAAGTTGTTTTTGTTATGACTACCTATATTATCTTATGCCTGTTCATTTTTAACACGCTTTTATTAGGTCGACTTGCAACGAACTAACTATGTAATAATTTAAGTAATTGATAAATAAATACTACATACTTATTTCAGTGCGCATACATCTGCTTGGTATTTTATGATAGGCAGGTCCATTTCATCCAGCTACCATTGTACTTAGTAGAAACTACATCTAACAAGCTACACCTATTCATCATCATCATCATCATTTCAGCCATAGGACGTCCACTGCTGAACATAGGCCTCCCCCAATGCTTTTCATGTTGATCGATCTGTTGTCTACACGTATTAGCCTTAACAAAATAAAATTACCTATCTTGAGATTGGGTAGAGATGGTGAGACATAATAATAATATGAATAGATCGATCGGAAGGAAAACGGAGGAAATTAGGAGTAGGTTGATGATCTATACGACAAATATTCAATAAAGATTCCACTTGGGGCAATGTTGTGAAATAAAAAATCCCTTTGAATTCTTTTGGAGTGTGTAATTTTTATGGGGTTTTTGGCAGACAAGGAAATACGAGAATCTTGATTAGCCCCTGATTAACTGCTCTGCCAACTCATATCTAGATATGCTCTTTTATTTAGATTAATTGAGATTAGATTCTTCCTCGGCCAATAACCTGTTTAACGCCCGTATTCACAAACATTACTATGAGGTCTCACGGTGCGCGTGGACGCACATGGTGACACACGAACCAATCACAGAGCTCTATTCAACGCTGTGCGTTCGATTTGCTGCTTCACTTAAGCAAGCATCGTTTGTGAATACGGGCGTAAATTATTCATGTGAGAATCTCAAATTTTATTTTCATAATTTTAAATTGTTGTACGATTACAACACGCGCGTTGCAAATTGTTTATCAATGCTGCGTTTACGTGCGCTCAACGGTCAACCTGTAATGAGCTGCCATGAAGTCTCCAGTCATGTATTCGCCCATGCAAAAACTGCACGAAATCAATAATCCGAGTTTCTAGCTACAAATTCAACATGCTTTTCTGGCTGGCAAAAACCGCTGCCTTTGTATCGCTATTCGTAACCACTGGTGAGCTAATACTTTTAATTTTATATCGTAAGATAAGCTGATAATCCTAGCCTTCTCGTAGGTACTGCATAAGTGTGTTTACCTAATTGACTCGAGACTATTTGTAAATAAATTGAATCGCTCACTTATGTTAAGCTAAGTAAGTGGTATTTTACAACTCATCATAGTTAGGTACATACATTGTAGATATTTATCCAACAATAAATACCTACCAAAATTGTAAATAAAATAACTATTCCCTACATAAGTTGAAACGTTATGGTCATCATATTGTAAATTACACCTACCTATTCGATTAATGCAAAATAATTTTGAATATACTAACAAAATTGACGATGAAGGAAAAGGCTATACGGAGTCATATAATTGATATTCCTTTACGGCTTTATGTGACGAACCACATATTTACGAACGTAAAGAATGCAACACGCAAATGGCATAAATGGGGATTATGATTAATGTATTATATTACATTAATCATCATAGCACACAGATAAATATAAAACGGATAAATGCGCACATTTTGCTAAATATACGTAATTAACTTATTTAATTAGAATTGTTAATAATAATAGAAACCGTGTCAACTATCTTTGAAAACTGTTATGCTAAACTATGAAAGACATTAATTTGGTAACCGTAGGTAAATAATGTTTCTTTGATATTGCGGATTTGACGACTACGATACGATTATGATTATGAAATCAAGACATTTTTATATGCATAACAAGGCAGGTATTTGACCGCAATCGCACCTGGTGTTAAGTGAGATACAGTCTAACATTTAATGTACTATATTTGGGCTTATTTATATCTTTTGCTGTACAGTTCATGGCGATGCAGCCCTAGAGTCATGGGTGCCCAACCATTCAGCGTGGGAAAAGCTGAATGCGCTGGATTGCGGGGAAAGCGCTGCCGACCGCATCATCGGTGGCACCAACGCTGCACTGGGCCAGTTCCCCTGGATCGTGCGTCTTGGATACGTGTGTAAGTCACTAGTTATTACAAATTGACATAGGTATAATACAACTAGTACCCATAGTACAAGCTTTGCTTAGTTTGGGACTAGAAGCGCAGTGTAAAATGTCTAAGGATATAATAAGGATATTTATATTTAACTACTTAGGAAAAAGATGTACAGAGTATAGTCTGTAGCCTGTGCAGTTTTCTGTGCAAGACACTATCTACATCTAATGATAGATTTTGTGGTGCTCTACTGATCATCCTTCAGTCAACGTCTTAAGAACTCTCCGTTGTGACAAATAGAGCCTTTTGAAACAGCGAAATTCGTTCGTTTTTTTCATAATATTCGGGTCTTCGAGATAACTCTACAAATGAGAAATGAAACGGACGGTTCGGTATAGAGAGTCATCGACATCAATTCAGTGTGAAATGTTTGATATCGATGACTCTACAAATCTAAACATTTTAATCCAACATTAGGTAGGAGTACGAGCGAAATAAACATAACGAATTTTATATTTTTATAGAGGCATTTTAGTTTTGATAAATGCATACAAAAGTAACAGTTAATATAAAAGTCGTTATGATAAGAAACTTGTCAATTAGAACAATCAAATTAGAGTGATACTCGTATCTACGATCACGTATACTTACTTACATGTATTCGTAGTAGATATCAATCTATATAAAATTGTACGAAAGTAGCACTCGTAGGTTTGTCACGTAGCTATGTGCGTAGCATAATTGTATTATAAGTTTTGGTCTCTTTTGGACTCAAATAAATATTATTTTCTATACATGTGCGGTTGTTCAAAAACCTTACACTACCATTTTTTTAACACTTGTTTTGATAATTTTTGACACGAATGTAACGGTGTATAATATGACGTTATTAGTTGAGATTTTTAGAGTTAATTGATTTATGCACTCATTATAACTGAGGCAACCGTGTCATGACTGATATGAAACAAATCGATCGTTCCACCAAGTTTTACAGCTGTAGGTGTACATTAAGCGAGTTTAAAATAACTTTATGACAGTTAAGTCTTTGTGGTCGCAATTATTTCGGTTAAATAAAAAAGTAAATCTTGATGACTTCTCAGAACTGTTATATGGTTTTTCAATTAATCAAATCACAAAGTCCAAAATTTCCGATTCAATTTGGTATAATGACTATATAGGCCAGTAGAATTAAACACAAAAATTGATTAAATCGGAAATAATTCCTACAAAAGATTTTTTTGCTTTAATGGCTTCATTGGTTGCCCATTAAGACTCTCCTAAGTTTTCGACTTCGACAGAGTTGTGCTTAAGTGGTGGGGGCCCCCGAAAGGGGCGTTTTTTCGGTTTTCCGGTTATACCGCGTAAAGGACTAACCCTATCGAAAAGTGGTCTTCATGACGGTTGAAGGGCACTTAATCCTGCATTGAATAAAGTTTTCTTAGTTCGACTTGAAAGCAAAATATTCATTTAATCTGATCAGCCTAGAGTAGAGGCCAGCCGAGAAGAATACCTATCCGCAAATTAATTGTTTTTTACTAACTTATTTGTTTTCATCAACAAAACACTATCGTTCTTAGTTCAAATTTTTCAATTTTTGATTGACAGTTCCATACGACACGGAAACAGATTGGATGTGCGGTGGAGCTCTTGTAACTGATCGCCACGTGGTCACAGCTGCCCACTGCATACCAACCCCCGATGATGAATATACTCTGTGAGTAGACAGGTCATAAAATAAAATAACTTTTAACTTTTTAGAACACTGAGTAAGGACTGGCCACAAAAATTAAAGCGGAACCTTTGAAAAAAAGAAACGTACTGTTTTCGTTGGTTTTCGTTGTATGCTTACTTCATAAAATAATTTCCTCATTTCTGTTTTTAGTTTAATAAGTATTTCTTTTTTTTAGTCAATTAGTGTATGATGCTTCTGTATCCATAAGCCATACCTATGGTATGGTATAGCCATACCAGATTTTCTTGGAAAAGCATTTAATTTATCTAAATCCCAACAATATGCGTCATGTTTTCTCAATTTATCATCTAACTGCTTTTGAACTTTTGCTTATGGGAAATTTCCCAATAAAGATCCCTTTGTGAGACCACTCATTATGAACTCATGCATCCACCAAAAATGTTAAGGATAAAAAATACTTTTAATTAGAAATGATGCATTCGATTGCACAATCATTTTAAATCCAATTTTAGGGATTATCATAACAAAAATTAAGAAGGATAAATCTCAACTCAACAGTGTTAATAATTTAAAACAGAACTCAAGAGTTGCCTTAGTAAGTGAATGACCTACTCAACTAGAAAGATGGCGTAAATTGCGTTGCAAGATTAGAGTCCAAAGAAACTTTAATGCCTTATCTGTAAGCGTTTCACCCTCAATACGCTATATCGCTTATTGCGCTTCTTTAATAATTTTATCTTATCCCCAACGGGGAAGAAACATATTTAAGAAAAAAATTGCGAATTGTAAGAATTTCAGATCAGAATTAACCAAAAAAACATGATTACTTACTTTTTAGAATTTTGTTACATTCAAGAAGAATTTTACCACCAGCAAGTTCATTCGTCTGAGCGATTGCTTGATGTAGGCCTAAGAATTTAAGATCCTTATCTAGTAACTGTTCATAACTCCAAAAAGCAAACTTCTGAACTTTTAATTATCATTTTCCCTCCAGCAAGTACATTCGGCTGGGCGAGCACGATACTCGCACTGATCCGGACTGCGAGCTTAGCGTGTGCGCGCCGCCAGTGCAGGACCGAGAGATCAAGAACATTTCTAAGCATCCTGACTTCAACCAACCGCCGTTCCATAACGACATGGCTATTATAGAACTGGATACCCCCGCGAACTTAAATGGTAACTATACCTGCTTAGATATAGGTAGTCAATGCTTTTTTAAATGTTAGGATAAGTGCAAGACCAAACACTTAAACTGTAGGCCAGGAACCTGATAGTGTAGGTACCTATTAAACTTGAATTATCGAAAATTCAGCGTATTTTATTATGGCAAAAGAGATATTCCAATTGTTTACATTACCCAGAGTAGATACGCGCGATTACGGAAGTCCCGATGGCACAATAGGCATTACACATAATATTATTATACTTAATTATCTTAGAATCCATCCTTTCCAGTGGCCTGACCTTTTAGGGCTCCCAAGAGGCAACGGCGGTATGCTGAATGTATTCTTACAACCTATATACAAAAAGGAATTTAGTCAACCACAAAATTCAGCAATATTTTCCCAACTTACCCTTTTTACGACTTACGTTGCATATTTCAGATTACGTGACCCCAATATGTTTGCCCCAGAAAGGGGACCAGCTAAATGGCGTTCATGTGGGCGAGCTGGTCTCCGCAGCCGGCTGGGGCAAGATGAACATGACCACGGAGGAGAGAGCTGATGTCTTGCAAGTCGTTGCGGTAAGTTATATGGAAAAATGCCCCAATTATCTTGCACCTGCAATTCTCTTTAGCCAGGATCTACACTTTGACAACATGGAATACAATAATGATATTGACTACCTATTGACCAGTCCATTGAATTCGTGGAAAGTATGTAATTTATCAGCACCACTTCTCGCTATTTTGAAATGTGTTACAGCTACCCATTGTTGAACCAGACATGTGTGATTTGTTCGGACAAGAGTTCAAGGTGTCTAAGTCCGAGATATGCGCAGGCGCCCAATACAACAAGGACGCTTGTGGCGGTGATTCTGGAGGTCCTCTCATGAAGGTGATGAAAAAATTTCCTTTGTTAAAAATGCTCTCGGCAAAAAATACGAAAAAGGCAACTTTATTAATACTTTTTAGTCATCATGCAAAAGCGCAGCCCCTTCGACAAATCTCAATAAATCGATACTTACTACATAAGAGCCTTGGCCTCGCGTGTTCTAAAAGTTCGATAGGTACTTCACCCTAACCCTTCTGGCATGTTCTAAAAATTATTCACTCGTTTTATGGCCGCTTACCCCAATGCCCTTGTTTGTCAAATACAATGACGTCAATAATAAAATCTGTTTTCAAAACCTCTAATAACTTGAAAATGTAAATGATTTCTAAGATGCAGTGCGTCATATTAACTTGCTTTTTTATTTTGTTTTATTTTCAGGTCTTCGATACATCAGATGGACCCAAAAACTTTTTAGTTGGTGTGGTGTCATTTGGACCAACAGTTTGTGGGATTAGAAAACCTGGTGTTTACTCTTCAGTGGTGCACTTCCTCAAATGGATCTTAGATAATATTGATTAGTGGATTAAGTAACTTATGTACTAAATATTATTATGTAATTAATATTTCGATGAAATTGGCATGAAAAAGCACCTAGGCTTATGTGATAGTTTTGTGTTATTTCCTAAAATTTTATTTTGTTGATGTTGAACGTTATTATAAAATAAGTCCATCAAATTAATTATTACTTATTTCCCTTTACTTGCTGTTAGTTTTATACACCCACAGAACAGAAACCCAAACCAAATCATCCCAAGATTTGACCTTCTTTGAACTGGCTTGTGTCATTTTCCGCTATAGAGTCGTATCAGAATGTAAGAATTAGAAACTTGCATAATTTACCTACTGAAACCAAATGAAGCTTTCTTCGTATAGAGACTGTTCGAGACTCATATTTAGGCACTTACGTGTGGTAGGTATACTCGTACCACCTACTTAAAAATGGTCCCTTTTGACCACTTCACCGAACATCCTGTATACCTAATTAAGTTGAGTCAGACTTGCAAAAATTTTGAGATTTTGTGCGATTTATCCTTGACAGCAAAATTCCTGCAGTCTTAAAATGGTAGCTAGCAGTTCCGAAACAGTTATTAGTGATGACGCACTGGGTGATTAGCAAAAGAACGTCTGCAATTGCGGATGTAATAGGTTGTCCAGTTTTAAGACAATAGAAAAAAACATTACTCGCCTCTCAGTTACGGCACCGTGAACACAACACTCGGACCGACGAAATGAACACCTAAACAAGTAACCCAATGGCGTTGGACAAAATATGGATAGTTTCGGCCGTCATTATTGCTTCGTGGAAAGCCCGTAAGTTAATTATATCCTGATAGATCTACCACTCTATAATTTTATAAGAAGAATGATTCAGTGCTTTATTTTAGGTTCACATGAAACGATTCCAAATAATACCGTGACGCCATATTCTAATTTAACCAGACCATTTTTGGAGAACGATGACCAGACTTATCGCCACATATCAGATGTATCGGAAACAAAAAATAATAATGTGTATAAACAGGACAAAGAAAATCGTGCATATGAAGTTAAAAATACACATCCAAATCGATTAGATGGAGCTGTTAAGCTTCCTGATAGAAGCGTCTGTGGACCGTTATCTGAAGAAGAAAGAATTTATGGAGGGGAAAACACGGCTATAGACGAATTTCCGTGGCTGGTGCGCATAAAGTATATCCTTGGTAAGTTTAAATTTTGCAATTTGTGTTTCCCTAAATTGTGTATTATTAGAAAACTGTTATGTAAACGTACTTAGAAAACAACAATATCTAAACATAATTGTAACAAGAGATATTTGTGGTAACGCACCAAAATTTTCCTTTGACTAATTTTACTAATACTTACTTTATTTGGTACATATTTAGGTGTATCTTGAAAAAAAGGTCTACAGTTTAGTTAACCATATCATAAGAACTCATGGCAATGCCATGCTTTTTCACGGAGCTAAAAAAAGTTTTTAAGTTTCAGCAGAACTGTTTTCAGTAAAAGTTTTACTAGAATAGAAATTAAGTCGAAGTATACCGATGTATAAATCTATTCTATGGTTATTTTGTTTTCAGATAACGGGAAAGAGGTGTACGCGTGTGCTGGGTCACTACTAACGGATAATTATGTGCTGACGGCTGCCCATTGTGCCGTCAATCTGACTATGTGAGTAAATAAAGTTATTGCATAAGTAACTTTGTGTTTTACCTGACATGCACATCTCCATTATGATGTTTATCTAAGCACATAATAAGACCAGTAATATTGTTCAACTCAAACATACCTACTTACTACGCAAATATTCCAATTTCAGCTTATTTTGATGTTTACATTTCAGTAAAGAAGTAAGATTAGGCGATTGGAATTTGAAAACCGAGTACGATTGCCAGGGAAGCGTTTGCATCGGTCATGCTGTAGACGTGAAAGTCGTCAAAGTGATACCATTTCCCAACTATACTAAGATGGACACTTTCAAAGGAGACATTTCTTTGTTAAAGCTTCAAAGACCAGTGAATTTTACAGGTAGGTATAAATATTTTCGTTCGCCACGCAATTTACGTAAGATACATTTTTTGAAATGAGTGTGGTTATTTTATATTTATTATTCATTTACGTTTACAGATTTCATAAGGCCTATTTGCTTGCCAACTACAGAATTTGTCGCAAACCAAGATTACTCTCCTGGAAGCACTTACTGGACAGCCGGGTGGGGAAAGACAGAATTTGGTAAGTGACCCCTGCCTAAGTAATGCCCAGCTTGTTCGGAAATAGCAAACTAATTAATTAAACTAGTTAATTTACTACAAAATTAACGAAGTTTTTTCTACTGTTATTGTAGAGAAGAAACCTGCAATTAAAAGAAAAGTGGAATTGAATGCGGTACCAGTTCCAGAATGTAGAAGAAAACAACCCATATTATCAGATGATACCGTATCGTTTACAATATGTGCAGGAGGAACAGATGGCAAAGATACTTGTGTTGGCGACTCTGGGGGATCTCTAGTCAAACAAGTTACTGAAAACAGTACGACCAACTGGTTTTTAATGGGCGTTACTAGTTATGGCTACAAAGAGTGTGGAAGCAGACCAGGGCTGTACGCAAGAATCACCCCGTACATGGATTGGATCATTCATAACATCGGATCATATTTCAAAACGACATTTATATTGGTATTTTTATTATAGCTTTCTACAACAATCAAAGTTATTTATCTTTTCCCATCGAGGCTGTCTAAAGCTACTTCAGAATCAGAATACTTGTCATCGTCGACCCTATTCAGATATTCTGATAGGTCACCATTGAAAGTTTCAGCGGTATCATTTATGGACACCTTTCGCGATCTGTTTGGACTGTTGTAATGGTAAGACTTGCTCTTTGAGCTTCGTTTCTTGTTTGTTTTCCTCGGAGATAGCTCCAACATTTCCGAAGGTAGATAATGAGGTCTGGGAGCATAATACCTCTCGAAAAGCATTGGTTGCTGCTGAACTCTCCCATACATCAGTTCCATTTCATGAAGAAATTCTTCACGTCTCATTTTCTCTTCGTCTCTTCGCGTTTGCAGACGCATGGCGATGTCTTCTTCGTGGCTGTTAAGTAAATATTTAATACGTTTTAATTATTTATAGTAATTAACTAACTTCATTCATTTTCTTGTGTTGTGTGATGATAATATGACTGAGTAAACGTGTTTATACTTAGTTATTTATATTTTATGCTAATTGAGCTATGTTTACTCACGTACTTTAAGTAAATCTAATCAACATAATACTTAAGTGAGTAATAATTTATCATAATTACGTAGGTAATATAACACACGACAAAAGAGAAATGCAACTAATAATAACTTACACGACAAAACTAAATACTAACTTGTTCTTTACAAGATGCCAGGCCGGCTTAGACCTCAGCAGGCGGTCTCGGTGTCGCATCTCCATCCTCCGGCGTTGATCAGCCAGGCGTCTAGCCGACTCCATCTCAAACTTTCTCCTGACGGCTTCGGCCCTCAAGAGTGCCGCCAGGTTGGACCTCCCAGACGCCGCAACCCGGAGGTCCAGCGCTGAATAGGCCCTAGCACCAACGGTACCAGCAGCGGCGCTGTCCCCAACGCTTTCTGTGCATTTGCTCTCTTGATACACCTTGTTTGCGACTTCCTGCATCTAAAGTGCAAATGAATTCACATAAAGTTGGAGATTTTATGACATGAATTTTAATGCTCCATAATATAATCCCCTTTATATTTTTGTTGTCTGGCTTTAGAGAGATGTCTAGACAATTTATTATTATGTTAATTGGAGATTTATTTTGCTTATGTTTCACTATGTTATTCTTATACGTAGGTACACTGCAACTAAGTGCCGAATTTTTTATTTAGCAAAATCAACTGTGCGAAAGTTAAACAAAAATTCTTAAAAGTAGGTATTTACTTTCTTAGCAGCTCTATCAGCTGTAGTAAACCGGAACGGCTGAGGGCTGGTAGTGATCAGGCCCTCTTTAACGCACTTCTCCTTCCTCCTGCACTTCATGGGACTCGAGGGCCTCCTGTCTCGGGAGGTCGAGGAGGGCACGGCAGGAGTAACACTTTATAAACTTACTTTATTAGCGGCTCTACAGCTGTAGTGAAGCGGACGGCTGAGGGCTGGTAGTGATCAGGTCCTGTTTAGCGCACTTCTCCTTTGCACTTCATGGGACTCGAGGGCCTCCTGTCTGAGGAGGTCGAGGAGGGCACGGCAGGAGTAACACTTTATAAACTTACTTTATTAGCGGCTCTACAGCTGTAGTGAAGCGGACGGCTGAGGGCTGGTAATGATCAGATCCTCCTTAGCACACTTCTCATTCCTCCTGCACTTCATGGGACTCGAGGGCCTCCTGTCTGAGGAGGTGGAAGAAACTTGGCAGAAGTAACAAACATTCTTAGACTTACTTTCTTAGCGGCTCTATCAGCTGTAGTGAACCGGAACGGCTGAGGGCTGGTAGTGATCAGGTCCTCTTTAACGCACTTTTTCCTCCTGCACTTCATGGGACTCGAGGGCCTCCTGTCTGAGGAGGTGGAAGAAACTTGGCAGATGTAACAAACATTCTTAGACTTACTTTCTTAGCGGCTCTATCAGCTGTAGTGAACCGGAATGGCTGAGGGCTGGTAGTGATCAGGTCCTCTTTAACGCACTTTTTCCTCCTGCAATTCATGGGACTCGAGGGCCTCCTGTCTGAGGTGGAGAAGACTTGGCAGAAGTAACAAACATTCTTAGACTGACTTTCTTAGCAGCCCTATCAGCTGTAGTGAACCGGAACGGCTGAGGGCTGGTAGTGATCAGGTCCTCCTTAGCGCACTCTTCTCCTTCCTCCTGCACTTCATGGGACTCGAGGGCCTCCTGTCTGAGGAGGTGGAGGAGGGCACGGCGGGTGACGGGTCGATTGCCAGAAGTAACAAACATTTTTAGACTTACTTTCTTAGCGGCTCTATCAGCTGTAGTGAACTGGAACGGCTGAGGGCTGGTAGTGATCAGGTCCTCCTTAGCGCACTTCTCCTTTCTCCTGCACTTCATGGGACTCGAGGGCCTCCTGTCTGAGGAGGTGGAGGAGGGCACGGCAGGTGACGGGTCGATCGGGAAGTCGCTGTGAGCGGCAGGCGTGGACAGCCGGCTGCGGTCTCTAGCTGCCATCGTGCCAGGGTAATTGGAAGCGCGGAGCATCTCTTCAGCTCTGATTCGGCGGTTCATTGATCTAAATTGAATTGAAAATAAAACGTGCTTACAAGCAGATTGAGGGTAATATTAGTTAGGTAACATAACTTAGTTACTTTCCTTTATAATTAAAAGTTCCAACAAAAAGCTATTTGCCCAGAAAATTCGTTAGAGCTTGAAATTTTCGTGACAAAGTATTTATACCCATTACCTAACACAAAACTTTTCACTGTACACGACACTCAAAGCTCTATATGTATAAAGAAAGACGTAGTCTTACCTAATCCGTAGATTCAAGTTTGAATTTTAAACTCTTCTTGAGGACCTACCTAGCTAGGTACCTATTATATATAGATTTATTTATACTTAAGTATCTTTTAGTTTTTAGATCTATTTATAAAACAGGATATTGATTATATCATCTCAGTGTGGACGACATGAACTTGTCTATTTATCAAAATCACGGTTCTACGAAATTGACTAGTAGGTACTTAATAAATCTATACTTAGATTCAAACACGACATCAAGTGAAACAGTAATATAAAAATAGGTAATAAAAGTAGGTAGGTGCCCTACAAATGAGTTGTTTGACGACGAAATGAACTTACCTAAAAAACTCGTCTTCTTTGACTTTATCGTAAAAATAATTGGAGAACAAATTCTTCGGCACCGGCCTTGCACGGAACTTTTTCTTCTTCTTGCTCTTAGGCAGGGCATGTATGGCCCTATCGCACATTCCAGGGAGACCCTTCTCTTCCCTCTTGGTGAAGCTGAACGGTTTCATCTGAGCTCGTAGTTCCGCCTCGCTGTTGATCTTTGTGAACGCTCGTCTACGAAATATTAGAGATGATTTTGAAAGTGCTACGAAATCGTAGAAAGATGTATGCTCGTACTACAGAATGTAGTGAAATATTGATTTTTTTTTGTGAGTAAGCAAACAAACTACTATGTAAAGTCTATTTAGCCAAGTTTTATTAATTAAAATATTGCCTACCTAAAGAAGTGACGATTCATTTTCGGTAAAAATTCGATCAAAAGTTACTATTACTAAATACCATACTTTGTATACGTATTAATATAGTGAGGCGAGGATTGAAATCAACATCCTGTATTTTGGCACATTATTTTGCAACCTTTTAAACTAATACTGTATTAAATCAGAATACTTTTACAAATTGTTGTAAAAGTCAACAACCTACTCAACAAATAATTCTAATTGCTTGCTGAATAAACTTAAATAAAAAAATCAAGCTCAAATAAAATGTGAATGAAAAGCATACAGGGTGTGCTGGTGTCGAGAAAGTAAACCTCATAGCCTGGTCTTCCAGAATCTTATCATATAAAGGGATCCGAGATTCAATAGGGACTGGGTTGGCGCGAAACTGCTTCCTCTGGCATTTTTGGTGAAGCATGTCCTCAGAATAAGATTTGCGCAGACTACGCAACTCGTGTACTATGCGGTCTTCTTCGTCCCTAGGAAATTATGAGATAAGTTAGAAAGAAAGCTACACGCTATTAGTAGTACTCGTAGCATAACAGTCTCTATAAATTATAAGCAAAAAATTACATACCTCTCGGTCATTTTGAACGGTTTAGGGATAGTGATGTTTTTCCTCCGCACCGGTGAAGCTGCACGTCTCGATCTCAAAGGACTTGACGGCATACTTTGAGTTTTGAATTCATCGTCCATGCTCACAGGACTATACTTTTTTCCATCAAAAAATTGATCAAACTTGTGGTCAACGACTTCATTTCTCTCCAAAGTCGCATCATTCCACGTTATGGAACATGCTGAATGATTTCGCTTTTGTCTTTCTGCTTGAGGCCTTTCCTTCATCGAACTACCTTTTATCGAAGTCACTTTTATATCTTCCAGCATACTCTTTTCTAAGTCCTTAATCGTGGTTTTTTTAGTACTCTTTTTCATGCTGCTTGTTGTTGCAGACACAGTTTTCGTCGTATCCTTTTTTTCACCGCAATAATGCTGTCGTAAGTTGGAATTTATTTTTGATTTGGTTTTCTTGCTGGTCACAGCAGGTGGTAGGAAGCAAGTATCCTCAGTTTTGGCGAAAATATCTTCTGTAATTTTATTATCAAAACCGTTATCATCAATGTGATCGACAGCTTCGTTGAGCATCTTCTTCTTTTTCTCCCGTAAAGATCGGAGAGTGAAATAAAATTCTTCCTCTGGTAAGTGATTAATATCGTTATAGTCTGGTATGCTTCGGTAAAAGTCTTTAAGTTTTTCGGCGTCCACGTCGGGACTACCGGAGCACACCGTTGAAGGGGAGTTTATAGAACATTGATCAAGCACTGGTTTATTCTTACGTTCGTATGCAGTTTTCGGCATTTTACTTATCGGGTCAACAGGCAATCTGAGGCACGAGTTTTTGAAAACACTACACCGATGCGTCATTCCTAACCGTTGGTAACGACATTATAACGGCGCTGCGCTGGCCTAACGAGTGTTAAATATTACATTAACTTAAACTTAGGCTTTAATTTGCCTACTGTTTGTGTTCGATCGAGTTGCCATAGAAACTCCGACCGGGTGGTTTTATGCGCAAGGCAGAGGAGGGCGGGAAATTTGGAAATATAGTCGATACAAGTTGGAAAAAAAATGGAGTTTAATTTCATTTAAGTTGCACTTACAGTAAAAAAGAAATTATAGATGTTATATTACCTTAACGTATTGGAATGTCCTGTAAGTCTTAATTTATACATGGGATGAGCTATTCTCTAATAACTTTAAGGTCATTAAAATGTATCTTGTCTAAAAACTCGATTGACTCGAACTTCGACACGGCAAACTTGTTTCAAAACTTTTGAATTTTCGTTCAGATTTCCGGAAAAGCTTAGTTAGTTTTTTTTTCCGTTACGGATTCGTGCGGTCTGTGTTGCACAATTCTATACAGCCAGTATCAAGTAAATGAACATGAGATATTCATGATTTATTTTACAGGAATAAATAAAATAACAATAATTGTAATTTTTTTTATGACAAAAGGGACTAAACTCAAAAACTAAAACGAATCAAATGTTTTTTTTTTCAGTTGACTAGACTAGAGTTTTATAGTTGCCTTTGCTGATGTTGTCTAAGGCCAAATTAAAAAACATAAGTCATTGTCAATGTCAGTCAATGTCAACAACAGCTGATGGAAAAAAAGATTTCTCTAACCAAAACAATTTAAACGATAGCCCTTGTTGTTATTATAATAACAAGAGGATAGTTCTGCGAAATTACCTATCAACAGGTAACTTTAGCAATGTTGTTACGGAACAGTGTACATCGGCTTTTTGCCGCAACTTTGAAGGATACAAGAACCGCTACTGCTTGCCGTTCGTTGAGTTCTATCAATGAGGACAACGTGAGAGAAAAGTACGATGTCATCATCGCTGGTGGTGGAATGGTGGGATGCACCTTAGCCTGCGCTATGGGTAAGCATCAAGCACTCAATATAGGTCTTTAGTATCCTTGGTCTGAGGTATTTAGGTACTCTAATCGGCGCATCTAAAAGTGAATTATTTGCTTATTTCATAAGAAAAACTGTTTGCCTTATATGTAGTGTTGATGGTGCTTACAGGCTTTATTACAATAGTGAATGATTTGAGTCAGAAGTACACAATAACTTGATATTTATCTTTTACTCCATACAGGTAAAAACTCTCTTCTATCCAATTTGAAAGTGCTCCTATTGGAAGGAAGCCCCATGCAAAAATTTGAACTGAAGCCTGAATACAGTAATAGAGTTGTAGCGCTGAACCAAAATACAAAGAGCTTGATGAACTCTCTTAAGATTTGGAGGCATGTGGAAAAAGCTCGGCTACAACCTGTCCGGCACATGCAAGTTAGTATTACTTATTAACCTATTTTAACCCATCAATCCCTAAGTGATCGCATAATATGATTGTGTAACAATTTATTATCTATTGTGTCTCGATTCATGAGGCTTGAAGGGGTAAAATATTCTTCTATTTATGGTCACGATTCAGAGGCAAGACCTATCTTTCTAACCTTAGTAATAAATACTCATCATCTGTTTTCCTTGTAGCTTTTTAATACAACAAACACATTTTCTTATTTCAGGTTTGGGATGCTTGCTCCGATGCCCTGATATCTTTTGACAGTGCGGACATGTCTGATGATGATCTAGCATACATTGTTGAAAATGATCTGCTCTTGCACGCAGTGAATACTGAACTTATGGCATCAGATATTAGAAATGTCAAAATTGTTTACGGAGCTAAGATAGCAGATTACCAATTGGCTAAGAGCACAAAGGAGGCATCTACTCAGAACTTGGTGAAAATGAGCAACGGAGATGTTTACGCCTGTGATTTATTGGTGAGTACTGAATGAAACACTGATTCATATTAACTATTTAATCACTCAAAGATATAATGGTTCTCTAAATATAGAACAAAAATCAGCAGAACAGTCCTTAAAGTTAACATTTTTAATACATGATATTATAAACATTAATAAACAATATAATACACCCTGTATAAACTTTTGGAAGACATCATCAAGGTGGCTGGCTATCGCCTAATTTGGACTCAATTAGCTTTAATCTTGCTTCAGTAGTTTCTGTTAACTTTGAAATTTTCTTTGAAAGCTCCATTAGTTGGGTTTTAATGTCAACCATGCATATTTCTTGTATCCCACTTATTGTCAATGATACTGGCCGGTTTCTGTTCTCCAAAGAGCTGGATGTAGTCCTCTTTCTTCTTTCAACTTGCTGTCCTTCAGATGAAAATCTGTCATAAAGATAACTCTTCCTCTTAACTATCTGTGGTGTGTCTATCTCACTATCATCTTTTTCTTTCTTCACTATGCATTTATAGTTGTTATTTTTTCGTATACTTCGTTTTGTATCCTTTCGACTTGCAACCATCTTGTATATTGATGCTATGAGATCTTTTGGTATCTGAAAAGATAATAAGGTCATTATAATAAATCTTGTTTAAAGAAACTATAGTGTAACATCTAGCTTTAATGTCCAGCTTTCCCTAAAAATGTAAAAAAATGACTCTAAAGCATTATTTTCTTGCCTTATCAGTAGTTTATTGCATTCAGAAAGTACAATAATTGAAATCTTGATGCCACTGGAAGGCCTTTCAGCATTCTTTCCCAGTCAACCTTGAGATTATAACTAAAATCATTATATCCTAAACTTTTTTAATTGAGAAAAACAGTTTATTCATACATCCAAATCTTACCCTATTCTCTCTGGGGTCATTAGGCCTTATGTTAAGTGTCCGTGTCTGCGTGGCTGTGAGTAGGGCGCCCCACCGGAGCACCGATATCAGCTGCCTCGGCGCACATGATAGCAAAGAGCTAAACAGCATACTTTCAAGGTGGGCCACCAACTGTGTCTGCCGGACTAGTCGGTCTAGGCCGGCGCTCTCTTGTAATGCCTGTGAAATAGCAGTGATAAATATTTTACTAAACTGTCAAGAAATTGCAGAAAAAAAAATAGTGGCGGTAACGGGAAACCATTAACATGGAAATAGCCTGGCTTGTTATTCAACGATTTTAGGAAATCGGCATCATTAACGAACACTTGACGATGCTTAGAGCGAAGCTAACTTGGGCCATAACGTGGCCATTTCCATGGCTACTCTCATTTCATATTATCTTTGATTTACGGCACTTTTTCGTTGTGTATGCATGCATGCATGTACACGCTATAATACCTAATTAGTTTCACATACCTGAATATCACTAACTGCTAAACCAACCAGTAGATTCGTCAAAATTACTGTGACAAGCAGTACAAATATCAAGAAAATTCCATGAGCTGTCAAAGGATACTGTATTTGTGAGTTGGTGCAGTTGTTGTAGAATATGTCTTCGTACTCCAGTTCACCGGACATCATCATGACTGTCTTTACTAAACCAGCGGGCAAGTGAAATGCTGGGTAGTTGCTGAAAAGCACGCTGAACGCCAGACCAAAGGCAATCAGAAGACAGCTGTAGGCTAATAGAAATGTCGCGAAATTCACCGTCACTGTAAAAAAGATAGTGATCAACCTCTTGTCTAAATACTCAGACAAATTTATAAAGAAAGCATCAATCGCATTGCTTACCAGTTGTAAACATTTGTACGTAAAGGCCAAATGTTGGAAATCTTCCAATTATCATCATTAATTCAAGCCAGCAAAAGAATATAGTAATCGCCGCAACGTCATGTTGCCAGTTTGAAGTGTTATTTTTCAAAACTACTCCATTCTCGACATCCCAAGGTATCTGAAACATTAAACAGTTTACATTTTGAGTATGGCGTGATATTAACATGTTACGCGGATATTTATTCGGATAAGTTTTTCAGAGAGACTGAATTTACTGAACCGAATATACCAGCTCGCTTACATCTATAGTATTTATCACACCTAGCCCAGTGGGTCTAGACAAAGTGCCATTATAATCGCAAACCAGTCGAAAAGTGGTCGAAAAGCCCCTTTTTTGTATGGAATTTGACGGATTCGATTTTCGATTCGATCAAAAAGTGCGTTTTGTCTAGGGGGGCAGGAAACAATACAGATAATTTGAATTCAAATTCGCAAACGGAATTGCACAAAAGTAGGTCCCTATAGGAAACAGTATACCTACGATTTGTGTGATTTCTCAAGCGAATTGGCATTCTAATGTTTCACAAATACGTCTCAATACTCAATACTCAATTCTTTATTGCATTTCACAGTGTACATTAAATTTAGGTCTCCTGGTGTAGATGTTTGTTTCAAAACTTACTGTACACAAAAACACTCCAATTATAATCAAACATTGTAGCCAATTTTCCCACTGTCGGATATACGCCGACCAATCTAAACAAGCTTGAAATAATTCCTTTGACATAAAACATAAATTGAGAATAATAATGAGATACTGAATCGGTCTGACATACGCTGGAACATCACAGGTCTCTTCTTCACATAAATATGTTTCTGAAAACATAATTAATTGCATTAGACTTTAAACATATTTTTAGATGAACATTTTATATTCATTGTTTACTGATACTTACGCAGTATGTAAAGGCTGTACAAAGTTATGAATAAGGCGTGGTAAATAAAGCTCAAAACGAAAAACTTTCTTATTCTTCGCCATTTGAGAAACAAAAATGTTTCTGCGACTGGATGTTTCAACACGTCTCTGCGACCCACCTATAAACACAACATTAAAAATTAATATGATTATGTAGATAAATAATGATGAATCATATGACACGGAATAAATACCTCAACAAATGCGAGTAACAGCTCGGCTTCCCCTCGAGATAGACAGGGCACTAAAGGCCTGAAGTCGATCGTAAGTTCACAGTCCACATCACCCAACTCGTGCTCACTGACATGAACTGCGTCATCAAACTTGCACAAGTACCGAGGAATCACGTCTGGGACGCGACGAACGATGAATGAAAGTGCTGAAATTCCTCCATTTGTTCGGAGAGTCACGTCACCACCGTAGTCTGAAAATTATGACAGGAACTTTAGCTGTGCTGCAGCGTCTTGGTTACCCCACCCTGTCCAATATTATTTTTAGTAACACTGGCGAATATGTACGCAGTAAGGCTTACACATAAATTAAGCTTGGATCATCATTACCTAATAACAACAATACACATGCTGAAAACTCGTTCAAAGCGGCTATGTGTAATGGAGTGTATCCAAAATTATCAGGCGCATTAGGGTCTGCACCCACAGACAGCAATAGCCTGGCTACGTCACACGCACGAGCTCCCCGCACTATTGCACCATGAAGAGGAGTTCGTCCATCGCCATCCCTGGCCTTTACATCAGCGCGCCGGCTTACTAACAATTCAACAACTTCTACTGATTGAGCCAAAGCAGCTGTTTAAAAAGAAATATTTTTAATTAAGTAGGTACATTACCAAAAACAAAATGAGGTCAAAATACAGGGTGTTTCTTGTAAGGTGTCAAGCCGAAGGCAGGTGATAGGTGAGGACTAGACCTATCGATTTCACCCCCATGTATGTTCAACGATTTTTCGTAGTTAAGAAGTTATCGTTAATTTTGTGATTTTTTCAAATTTTATGACCTAGTGGCTTAATTTTTTTTTTATCTTTTTTTTGGGTTGACTTTTCTCAGATTTCTTTTTGTTGACAGATTCCCTATTAGTTGCAGATATTTGAAAAAAATAATCACCTTCCTATCTTTGATGCAAAATACAAAATTTTTGCTAGAAACATAAAAAATATGCTCTTAGCAGAACATTCTAAAATTTTCAATTGAAATGAATGAGAAAAAAAAAGAATTTCCATAGGTCCAAAATAATTTTAAAAACTGCGCAGTTTTCTGAATTTTCATAATAACACAAAAAAACATGTACTTAATAGGCCATTATTTTCTGTAATCGCTCCACTAAAGTGGTAAGTCGGAGATTCCGTTACATGTTTTTGACTTTCTTAGGACTTAGTAATATTTGCAATCCCCTAAGTTTACGTTATGAGAAAACTGCGCAGTTTTTAAAATTATTTTGGACCTATGGAAATTCTTTTTTTTTCTCATACATTTCAGTTGAAAATTTTAGAATGTTCTGCTAAAAGCATATTTTTTATGTTTCTAGCAAAAAATTTGTATCTTGCATCAAAGATAGGAAGGTGATTATTTTTTTCAAATATCTGCAACTAATAGGGAATCTGTCAAAAAATAGAAATCTGAGAAACGTCAACCCAAAAAAAAGATTAAAAAAAAATTAAGCCACTAAGTCATGAATTTTGAAAAAATCACAAAATTAACGATAACTTCTAAACTACGAAAAATCGTAGAACATACATGGGGGTGAAATCGATAGGTCTAGTCCTCACCTATCACCTGCCTTCGGCTTGACACCTTACAAGAAACACCCTGTATATTGAAAACCAGAAGCATAGTACATCTTTTATGACACGTTACCTAAATGCAGAGGAGTTTGTCCTCTAAAATTTGGCCAGTCAATGTGAGCACCGTTATCAAGAAGTAATTGAGCGCATTCAGCATGGCCATCTTCTGCAGCAAGGTGCAATGCTGTCGCTCTTCCTGGTCCTAAAGCCGCTCTGACATCAGCCCCCGCGTCAAGCAATAGCTTCGTACACGAAGCAGAACCTAAAGACGCTGCAACGTGCAGTGGAGTTTCAGTAAACACCTGTAATCCAGACGTAAACAAATGATAAGTGTCCATATACAAAACTAGCGGCCGCCCGCGACTTCGTACGCGTGAATCCCGTTATTCCCGCTAATTCCCGTTCCCGTGGGAATTTCGGGAATTCCTTTCTTAGTGCACCTCTACGGTACCTAAGCTACGTCCCTTCCAAATTTCAAGTGCCTACGTTTAGCCGTTTAGGCTGTGCGTTGATCTGTCAGTCAGTCAGTCAGTTTCTCCTTTTATATATTTAGATGATAATATCGTCCACGCTTCGTGTAACATTGCTTTTGGACGTTTATCTTAACGCTGAGTTTGTTTATGCTTCATACAAACATGAGTAAAAACAGAGCCACCTGTGGAGTATCGGGGCAGGCACCGGCTTCTAACAATGCTCTCACGACATCCGTTGCGTTGCTGAGCACCGCGTAGTGCAGCGGCGACCGCTCACTCAGACCGGCGTTTACGTCAGCGCCATGATTGAGTAGCACCTGGAAAAATAAAGATTAGTAAAATCCAACTTTTAGGTCACTGATTTCACAAACCCGTCGATATCCTGTTTACCTTGACACACGTTACGGATTTCGCGCTAGCAGCGCAGTGTAATGGCGTCGCCCTCTTTTCGCTGGAAGAATCCCACTTGTTCGGGTCAGCTTTGTGCTGCAGTAATAATCTGACACATTCATCACTACCCACTAAGCAGCTTAGATGCAGACAAGTCCTAAAAAGTTATGAAGTTTAAAATATCTTTTAGTTTGTGGCTACTGAAATTGCATTACCATGAATAGCAATACGTATAATAAAAATAATACCTGCCAGCATCGTCTGCGCTATTAGGATCCACTCCCAACTTTAACAGTCTGTCCAGAAGAGAACTCCTGGCAAGCCAACATGCCCACAAAGCTGCTGTGCGAGCTAGCAAACATTTTTCTGTCGGTGTCACAAAGCATATGACATCGTCATAGTGCCCTGTTTCCACAAGTATACTAATCTCTTCTGCATGAGGCAGTTGATGCAGTGAATACTGTATTTCATCTGTAAAGATATTGGAAAAGTTTGAAGTGCTTGTATTGGGCATTGTGTATTTTACCGAGGCTACTCTAGACGCTAGACATGTTTATATTTGGTCTAAAAATACGTTAAAACATTCGTATTTAGTATTATAGATCTTCCTATTGACAGCTGTTTACGAAACAAAGCAAAATATATTCTTACCTAACTCCCAAATATCCCTGGAGGGTTTGATCCTCAGCCTCTCCGCGAGGTCCAGGGCGTGTGCGGATTCGTCGCTGGAAATGTACCCTGCTTCGACATCGTCGTCCGAATCCTCCGCCACTTGGCTCATCACGTCGCCCGCGCACCATCGCGAGCTACCCTCGCGATATACCTGAACCACTGAACTTTTAATAAAGACACTAAAAAGTTTCAAAACAAATAATAAAGTGTATCTAACATTCAATTTAGTGAAAATTTTACATCTGCGAAGGTAATTACAATGTTTTTCATTTTACACTAGAGGTCAGTGAAGTATGCTTTTCCTAAGTAGACAAAAAGTTAAAACAAAAGCATCACTCGTTGTTTACAGAACGTTTATTATGCTCTAAATTTTATTTTTAAAAATCTATTCTAATTCTGATGTGTTTAACCCACATTCCATATAACTATAAATTATATTTAACTTCTTAAAACACTTCACAACTTTTCACCATAACATTTTTAATCTGGAACACACTGGCGATTTTTTAAATTTTGATCATATTTATGGCACATCTCACAGATTTTGAAAGGAAATTATATCTCGTATAAATAGGATAATATTAACCTTCTTTTTATTTCTTTTCCGCACGAAAACACTATGGGGCATTGCGAGCCGTATGCGCGTGAGTGCGTATCTTAAGCTCGCGCTTCACTGAAAGCTCTTTCATTGATAACTGTCGTCGCCGACTGAACATATTTTTGGAAACGCAACAGATTTTTTTGATACATAAACCTGATAGATGAGTAGTGGATGGCTATCATAAACAATGGAAATATTTATAGCAATCGAGTAATGCTTGGTTCATGATGATGACGGACATAAATATTTTTTAACCAACTTCTTTTTTGTCTTCCTAGAAAGTTTATTTTATTTCTTTCTTATCTTTGTCTTCTAATTTCTCACATAAAAAAATATTAAAGAAATGCCTAGATATTCTTACGTTGGATTGGAATTCTAACTATGAGCCATTTTTATGATGTCGCCAGACGCGTCGCGAATCGCGTGATGCGGGATTATTTTTAAGAACGTATATTTCATTATAATTTATCTTAATTTATCCCAGTCTTACAACTCGACTGTTTCACAATCTAATTGAACCCAGCCGATTTTTTATGTTTTATGCACGGTGTTTGTACTTATGTACTCAAAATGCAAAAAAAAATCGACATTGCGAGCTTTACCTTAAGCAAACAACTATCAGAAGATCTTACAAAGCGCGTATCAATTTCAAATGTGTCATAACAATGACCGAATCCATATGGCATGCCAACATTATGGTATGTGGAAACAATCGAATCAAGCTCCAATATTAGACCGAACGTGCTCTATACTCAGTATTACAGTTATTGCTCCATAAAATTACAATAAAATAGCTTTATGGCCTACTACATATTAACGCCTCTAATGTGTAAGTGTTGATATTCTTGTAACTATTTTATAAACATTGTAAAAAGTTAGGGGATTACTCAACTAGCTCGTCATCATCTTGTATGATTGAGACATAGTCTTCAATCTTCATCCGTCTTCTATCATTGACTCAAACCAAGGATTAATTTATTACACTCAAAAATGTTTTGATTGGGAAACGGAGGAAAAAGAAATTCCTTTAGATTTCTTGGCATCGGATCAAACTAACTATGAAAATAATTTTGATTACTTGGAAGAAGACCATTCTAAGGAACTATCAGAATAACGAGCGGTGACGAAATTATCGGAAAAACAGTCTGAAAGTTTTTTATTCTTAAATTAGGTTTATGCGGAATTTTCATTATAACATATTTATTTCCACTGAGCTTAGTGTTTTATTAAGTACTTTCATTTAGTTAAAGTTCTGTGTAAAAATATGCTACATTTTTATTCAGGTAATATATAGGCCGTAAGAGTTCAAGGAATCCCAATCTTATTAGACAAGTGTTTCTGTACTTTCTATTTAGAATTTTAGAAGAATGCCTAACTTTGATATACATTCATACTCGTACTATACAAGATACAATAATAATGATTATCATCTTTAACTTACCGACGGTATTTTGTTCATGACAGCCTCAAACAGCATTTTGTTCAGCTCCTGCGCTTTCATCACACTTCAATCCAGGTGCTCCCCTATTTATACCTGGGTGTTTCGTTAAGTATGATTTGTTTAACCCGATCGGCCTCATTGGTTAGCCGCGACCCAATTCTGCGGTAAGTGTTTCGGCCAAACGTTTGAGAGATTTTTCTCGGAAATATCCCTTTTGATGTGCGCGCGGGAAACTTTAACAGATGATGGTTAAAAATAAATCAGTGATTAATGCTCGGTACGCATTCAATTGATACGTTTGGTTAATTAATGTTGGATATCGTTAAGAGAATACACAATTTTTTTATTGTTGTTTTATTTTCTGACCTTATATCAACTTATGAACTTATTCAACTGTCATATTGGTTGTAAAAACGTTTCCAAATCTCGCACTAAGAATGTTCCTGCACATAAATCCTTTTCTATTCACAAACTACGAGATGCGCAATGCACATAATACTTTTTCTAGTCACATGTTAACATAACATTAAAGGATCACAAAATCATATTTTTAAATCACACTTTTATTCCGCAAACGGTTTGCTTGAAGCTTACCGGTTTCGTACTGAGCACGCGCCCAACGGCTCCAGCTGAAAACAAACACTCCAGAAGTAATAATTATACTGCAATCATCGGTTTGCCAATCCGCAAGAAATAGCCCCAATTCAACGTAAACGTAAATTACTGATTATGACTGCATTTGCGGCGTTTACAATGTAAAACTTTAGCTTTACTTACACTTTTTAAAGTCCTTTTCTCCAATCGTATTTTCATTTTCAATAAAGCTAGGTAGGTACTTACTACTTCAGTTATAAAATGGATTTGCTTATTTAGCAATTTAAAATGCATCTATTACAGGTACGATATCGACGTTAATTTCATTTGGTAAAAGATCAATCGTCAATCGGTCATAATTATGCCGGGGATACCTGAGAAATGATGATAAAATAATTAAAGTCTCACTTCCTGAATCAATTTTTATTTAAATCAGCAATGATCTGTTCTACAATTAAGCCCATAAGTTAAATAGTAATTTCTCTGTTTCCAGATCGGTGCTGATGGCGCAAACTCCGCCGTCCGCAAGGCGATGGGTGTGCAGTACTTGTCGTGGAACTACGACCAGATGGGAGTCGTGGCCACTTTACATTTAGCTGAGGTAATTTGATTTATTTTAATAACTTTAGAAGTTAAAACGTTAAGATGTCTGTGATTAAATGAGCTATATTTAATGATTCAAACTTCTTCTTTTCAGGAAGTAAACAACGACATAGCGTGGCAGCGATGGCTGCCTACCGGTCCCGTTGCTCTGCTACCGCTCGACGCCACACGCAGCTCTCTTGTATGGTCCACCTGGCAGGATAACGCTAAGGAACTACTCAAGCTCTCTGACGAGTCCTTCGTGGATGCCCTCAACGACGCTTTGGTAAGAAATAACACCCTTGTTGTTTGTTTGCAAAGACGTGGCGATGGCGTGGTAGCGCTGGCTGTAGGAAACCATTTTCATGCGATTCAAGTCCATATTCCAGACTACAAAGTAACCGTAAGTTTGAATCGCATAGGAAACGAATTATGTCCGAGCATTGGGTGCCTGAGCCAATTGCTGTCACTGGTTTTAATTTTATTTTCCCTTTTTCTTCTCTATTCTATCATGCGCTATCATGCGATCAGTCAGAAGACAATGAAGAGAAATGTTCTGTGATTAAAGGCCATGAGAGCAGAATCCCCACTAGGACTCCCTCATTTCCCTATTTTATTTTACCTTCATATTAAGTACTAGAAGACATATTTCATAGTAAAATCTAATTATTTCCAGTGGAAGCAGTATCCTCGCAGCAGCAGCGTGGACGCGTGCATGTCTTGGCTGGGCTCTTGGTTGAAGAGAGCCGGGTTGCCGGACGGGGAAGCGAGACAACTACCGCCCTCTATCAAGAGCATTGCGCCTAACTCACGCGCAGCCTTCCCGCTCGGGTTTGGACATAGTACGAGATATATTGCGCCTGGTGTTGCGCTTGTAGGGTAAGATTGTGTTTCTGTATTTTTAAGCGTATTCGTCACAAGTAGGAGGCTATGGAACTACATTTCGCAGCTTTTGCATACGCGTTCGTGGTCGTCTAACAGCAGTAGCTTAGACGTGTGCATCTCGTGGCTGAAGAGAGCCGGGCTGCCGGACGGGGAAGCGAGACAACTACCGCCCTCTATCAAGAGCATTGCGCCTAACTCACGCGCAGCCTTCCCGCTTGGTTTCGGGCATAGTACGAGATATATCGCTCCTGGTGTTGCGCTTGTGGGGTAAGATTATATTTGCGAAAATAGCAGGTTATGGAACTACATTTCGCAGCTTTTGTGATGTTGGCGGTCGTATAGCAGCAGTAGCTTAGACGCGTGCTTCTTGTGGTTGAAGAAAGCCGGGCTGCCGGACGGGGAAGCAAGACAACTACCGCCCTCTATCAAGAGCATTGCGCCTAACTCACGCGCAGCCTTCCCGCTTGGTTTCGGGCATAGTACGAGATATATTGCGCCTGGTGTTGCGCTTGTAGGGTAAGACTGTGTTTCTGTATCTTTAAGCGTATTCGTCACAAGTAGGAGGATATGGAACTACATTTCGCAGCTTTTGCATACGCGTTCGTGGTCGTCTAACAGCAGTAGCTTAGACGCGTGCTTCTTGTGGCTGAAGAGAGCCGGGCTGCCGGACGGGGAAGCGAGACAACTACCGCCCTTTATCAAGAGCATCGCGCCAAAATCAAGGGCTGCCTTCCCGCTCGGCTTCGGACACAGCACGAGATATATCGCACCTGGTGTTGCGCTTGTGGGGTAAGATTATATTCGCGAAAATAGCAGGTTATGGAACTACATTTTGCAGCTTTTGTGATGTTGGCGGTCGTATAGCAGCAGTAGCTTAGACGCGTGCTTCTTGTGGCTGAAGAAAGCCGGGCTGCCGGACGGGGAAGCAAGACAACTACCGCCCTTTATCAAGAGCATCGCGCCAAATTTAAAGGGCAGCCTTCTCGCTCGGGTTCGGGCATAGCACGAGATATATTGCGCCTGGTGTTGCGCTTGTGGGGTAAAATTGTGTTTCTGCATCTTTAAGCGTCATCATCATCATTATCATTTCAGCCACTATTTCGGAGGTTACGGGTTCATGAACATATTTGTTTATATTGGACTGTGTGTTTTCTATGTATAATATATAATTTACAAAAAAAAAGTATTTAAGTATGTTTATATCCGTTGTCTAGTACCCATAGTACAAGCTTTGCTTAGTTTGGAACTAGAAGCGCAGTGTAAAATGTCCAAGGATATTTATTTATTTTTCATTTATTATTATAGAACGTCCAATGCTGAACATAGGCCAACCCCAATGATTTCCATGTAGATCGTTTGGTAGCGGCTTGCGCCTTCCTGCTACCTTTATGATGTCGTCGGTCTACCTTGTGGGTGTACGTCTCACGCTGCGTTTTCTGTTAAGCGGCCTCCACTCCAAAACCTTGCTGGCCCATCGGCCATCAGTTTTACGTACTATGTGCTCTGCCCATTGCTACTTCAGTTTATATAGACTTTAGTCCGCCCTCTATCAAGAGCATCGCACCCAACTCATGCGCAGCCTTCCCGCTCGGGTTCGGGCATAGCACGAGATATATCGCCCCGGGCGTTGTGCTAATGGGTAAGAATGTGTTTTTTTTCTCTCTCAATTATTATGGCTTCGTGCGGTTTTCACAATATAGCCAGTGTCAAGTAGTAATCACTCCATCAAGACCTTCCTGCTCGGCTTCATAAAACGAGATATATTGATCCTGGATCTACAAATGGAGAAAGAATATCTTGTAACCTAATGACGAATACACATGTATGGCCTAATATGGCCTTCTCTTCGACCTGCGACTTGCTTACCTCGGATTTGGGCATAGTACGCGATATGTCGCGCTTGTAAGGTGAGAATGCCGTGTTAGCGTCTCATCGGGACTTTTCTCAACTCCCACTGCAACTCTCATGTAGCCAGTATCTACTCTACAGCTTGATATCACGAATAAAACCAAGTCAGTGAAGGCCAAGATTGTCCCGGAAGAAAGTTAAACTATCGAAATCAACAGAACATCAGGTTACCGAAAGTTATTTTGTTAAAATGTATCTTTTTTTCTACAGGGACGCCGCACACCGTGTTCACCCGCTGGCCGGGCAAGGAGTCAATCTTGGTTTTGGTGACGTCAAGGACTTAACAACCTTCTTAGCAGATTCCATTTACACAGGCTTCGAAATAAGTAAGTTTACAGTGAGATTTCGAAGTACGGTATATTAAATTTCAAAGAGCCTGACACATTTCGCGAGCAATTTTACGTCCCTAAAGTTTGCGCACAGACGTGGAGTAGGCAGTTAGTCCGTCTGTAAGTAATCACAATTTCATGCCTTTAGGCATGGGGATATGGATAGGGATAGCTATTTTAGCAGGCGTTAGCAAGTCCATTATAGTATGTTTTTTAAGTTTTGATGTACTGTACTAAATACCTACTCGTAACTATACTCGGAATTATAATTCGATTCCACATTTGACAATTTCAGTGTTGCAACGTTATGACAAGTACTAAATAGTGACGTTGCGAAATTATTCGATATGGAAATGGAATATTTCCGGATCGATTCTTCTCGTTTATAATTTTACTCTCGTAAACTAATTATATCAGGAAATTAAATATTTCTGAACCGATAATTTAGTTTTGACGATTAACTAACGATCTGAGACTTTTATTTTATAATTGTGTGTGTAATAAATAAAAAAATGTGATCTTGAAGGAATCAATAATTTAGTCTTTAATTGGCACACTGATGGCACACACACTGATTGTTTATCGATTTTTGTGTACACATCACTACACTATTATATGTGGTATCATTATTTCACAAAATGACAGTAGCTAATGTCAAATGTGGAATCGAATTATAATTCCGACTTTAAATCATTTTTTTAAACACTGAACTCATTAGTGATTGTGGTAGTCTTGCAATCACGTAACGAGGTCATGTAACCGCTATCGGCTATGGCCTGATTTGATTGAGACCACAAAATTTAGTGTTATTAATTAATAAGAACATTATTTTTTTTATCTTACATACCATGATTTCATTCTTGTCAATCTTAATCTTATAATTGATATTGTAGCTAGGTGTCAGTTTTATGTACCCTTGACCCAAAAAATAAGGCTCTAGGCTCGTTCCTCGAGGCTCAAATCCAAACGAGTGATGACAACGACACCCTTCGTTCTTTCCCTTCCTTATATCGACTGATATCTCAATATTCATTGGTTATTTTCCTGATGTGATTAATGTCTAAGATATAGAATAAACTATCATGTTCGAATCGATAGCCCAACATCCTGGGGTGGACACTAGACCATTCTGGGGTGGGCCCAGACTTTATACGTGCTGAATATATTGACCTCTTCTCACGATTTTCCATTTATCAGCCCATCACAGCTGGCTGCAAAAATACGAGAGCTCCCGGCAACGGCATAACGTGCCCACGCAGATAGCAGTGGATGCTCTGCACCGGCTGTACACGCTGCAGCTGCCACCAGCGGTCCTGGCGCGGAGCCTCGGGCTCCAGCTCACTAACGCCCTCCACCCCGTCAAGGTATGTCTATGAATTTGATGAGATTTGACCCGAATAGGGAGGTGGACGAAAACCAGCGAAATGACCCCAAAAACAATTTTAAGTTTATTCGATTTTGTTATGTCAAGGATTTTATCTACGTATTTTATTATTGTTTTTCAACCTTACCTTGAATTAATACTTCGAAAATAGCTCGTGCTCAATGACATCAAGTTACGGAAAAAAAATGTGTTCTTCTACTAAACTCTACTACTTAATTCCGCTCAATCCTGCATCCCAAATTATAAAATGTAGTCTTGCCGTTTCTAAAAGACGCAAAAATGTTAATAAGGAATAATGAATCACTGTCGTGAATCTCCATACAAATATTAACACGTGCCAAATTCACTGAATACAATAGAAATCCTTTCACTGAATAGACGAGACGATATCGCAAAAACAATTAGCTAATCTGCAACGATGACTAATACTTTTGCACGAAATCCGACAACTTTAAACAAAATAAAAGCTATTGTTTAATAGCACGCACAAATACCGTCGTTATCAATGACACCTTTGCCTGAATAACAAAATTGGAACAAAACAAAGTATTGGTATTTTTTGGGTGATTAAGATAACTCGTTAATTCTTTAAGGGTTCACACACTTACACATACACTTTTGTAATACGAGTATCTATTTCCATTGAAAAATGGTATTTTTTATTCTCAAATTGGAGATAGATAAGATTGTTCTCCATACCAATTTGAAAAGATAACATTTCTGAAAACCTACTTAGCTTAACAAATGCAAAAACGAATTAGATTATTATTTCAACCTGTAAATAGGTGTTAGAAATAGAAATTTCATTATTGCGTGGTAAGGAATTTAGAAATGCGTATCAAATTTATCATATTATCGATATGGACTGATATTTGTTGCGTATTACTATTATTATTATATATTATTATATACGTATTGGTATTTATGCGTAGTTATAGAATAAATATCTATTTGCAAAAAATACCGTAATCGTCTGGTAATTTCCCTGATAAAAAACACTAGTAGCAAAGATTGTAGTAAAAGTGATTTAATAATGCATATTGTTACAGAAAATGTTGATATCACACGCTACTACGTAAATGGATTCGATTCTGTTGGAGTGAGACGACTTGATCCTTGGAAAGGGTTTTTGGATTCTAGAATAACTTCTTTTTCGGATTAAGAATCTACCACGATCACGAAATAGTTAAAAAATGTTTTAATTATTACTTATTTGTATAACTATTTCGTGAGCACGACAACTATTTTAATTACTTATGTCTATGTATTTATTCGAAATAAAAATATTACCTAGTCTACATAAAGTATGTATGTAACTATGTATATTTACCTACCTCTCCTAGAGACAGTATTTTATGTCTAGTAATAATAGTACTTTTTAATGCAACTCATGGAATACTTAATAAAAATAAATTTTTATAAGTACATTATCTTTTATTTATTTTGATATACACACTTAAATAAATGAATAATAAGACACGATTTTACATAAGTAAGTGTAATAAATATCCAGTAAGTATATTTTTACACAAAATATCTAAAGCAACTTTATACATAATTATTATACAATATACACAATATACAATATTATATTTTATATAACATAGGTCTTATAGGGGAATTCCCTTTAAAATGTCCATGGATTAAAATTCGGTATCCTTCCGTTTGGCCAAATTACTTTTCGCCAAATTTCACTTCGCAAACAACTTATCGCCAAAGTTTCATTTCCCAAATGAACTTTTAGCAACTGTACTTTTCGCAACTAATTCATTTGGTCAAATTATCATTTGGCCACATGTTACTTGGCAAATGTTTATATAGCAAATATTTTATTTTACCAAATATTATATCCCAAATAATTTGTTTGGTCAAATTGACACTTCACATACTTACCCACCGTTACCCACAAATCAAAGCATAGGCACATGATCATGGTTTTCACAAGAATTTTATGTAAAGCAAAGAGATTGCAGAAAACAGTATGGTTGCAGAAAGTAGGTATTGCAGAAAATAGTAGGTTAGGTTAGGTTAGAACAGTGACCATTAACGCGCGAAGGCGAGCGAAGCGTGCCGCGGCAGCGGCCGCCGAGCGCTAGAATCACCTCTATTGTTAATGAATCATTTGGAAATTTCGAAAAAAAAGAATGAAATATGAAAATTAATATAGATTGTTTTTATATTTACTACTCACGAAACAAAATAATAACCACAGGCTTATTTGTATTCCATTCTATGCACCAATCAAATTATTTTGTAAATTGTTTATCGTGAAATATTTTTGCCAAATGAAACATTTGGCAAAACATACTTTGCCAAACAATAATTTGGTAAACAATAATATGCCAAACACGACATTTGCGAATTAAAAATTTGCAATAAGTTGTTTTGCCAAATGAAAATTTGCGAAACGTTGTTTGCGATGTGATAATTTGGGAAACGTTTTTTGGCCAAACATTAGTAATCCTTAAAATTCATAAATTCGCTATTTAGGTAGGTCCCGTCCCTATTTTGCAATTGAGAAGCAATTGTTTATAACAAAATTATGTATTAAGTTTCTAAGAAATCTTGTACCTATAAAAAAATATCTTGGGTGGCTTTAGCCAAGTGTGCTTCGCTATGAACTAAAATTATCTATGTAATGCTGCCAATAGGATATCGAACCATTCTTTGCTGCGTTGTTATGACGGTGTTTGATAAAACAAAGACATGCTGAGTACACACGCTGAATGAAACAATAGGTTGGGGACACAAATGTTTCATAACAAACAGATATTTCATATCGCGAAGCTTCCATTGAATTAATACATGATTCGTAAAAATACTTGGAAATTATGCTAAATAACAATTTTTAAGACGCAGTTAGTTATACATTGGGAAAATAACAAATACGTAATCTATATACCTACAATTATGTAGTAGGTATGTAGTATGTAGTAATAAACAAAAGACTGACGTAGATGACTGAGTCTTCTGCCTTTTCTCAGCACCAGTCGATATATTCTCCCGAACGCCAGGGCAGGGGCAAGTTACATGGGACGTGAGTTCTCCAAAAAGGGCCTCCCTACATAAGACTGATAAAAAAAGAACACATGAACGTTAAAAACGGTTGGGAACAGCTGTTCATCGAGTTGCATCGGCTATCATGGCCATCGGGGTGTGACGTCACAACGGCGCATTGCGCACAATCAAGGCTTACGCCATTGCCAACGCTCATTCATTTAATAAGATACATTATAAGCCTTCGAATAAGAGCTATAATGCTAAATTCAGTATTGCAAAGATACCGACTGACTCAACTTCGTAAACATGCGTCAACTCGTTGGTCGTGCTGTTCATTGCTTTTTTATGTTTTGACTTTCACCAGAAAAATATTATTAAATGAATCTTATAGGTAGACTAAGTACTCGATCACTAATTTTTCTGGTAGTAAAAAATGATTAAATTTTGTGGTAAAATAATTTATTTTATCCCATTGAGTAATGTAGTCTATTATAAAACTCTTGAAACCTGTTAAGTACCAGCCTAATTACTTCTAGTTAACTTCATGCTATCCTAATGAAGGATTGATACTTAAAAATGTATCCTCATTAACTAATTAATGATTAAATACGTCAATCATACTCTTATCACCGAAAGGCCGTAAACGTAGATCATTTTAGATAGGTCATTAGTTAATTATGTGAAAGTGTTATTATGACCTACCTAACCTGCAAAAGTACCTAGGTATGTGAAATAAATACCATGGTAATTAACTCTTTCTAGATATTCATGAACAAAAACGATTTAACTTAAAGTTCTAGAAGCTTCGACCTACTTTCTTGAGATGGTACTATGCAATGCAGTTACCAAAAGCCGCTAGACTTTTTAATAATAAATTTTAGCGGACTTAAAATTCCCACGTGAGTGAATAAACCATGCTTTGTCCGAGACCCTCAAGTTGTCCTTTGTTCCTTGCTTTCAAAGGAGTCGCGATTTTTTACCTGGGGGATATTTATTGTCATACCGTAGCTACTACTTATGTACTAACCTTGGACCATCCAGACGATGAACTGCATTACCTTACATAATTACCTACCTAGACGTATTGAGATGTTAGTATTCTGTGATGTTAGGCAGAATTCTTAGGTTCCAGAATCTGTGTCTTGGAAATTCCTATTAAATTCTATGAAGTCTAGTCTAAGTGTACCTTTTCTGTAATAATTTTTATTTCATTTACTTAACTCTTTTAGGGAAACTTACAGGCAAACGTTCCTAAAAATAACACTAGTTTACAAGGTTTTTTACCCAGAGATGAAACTGATATGTATCGTTAGAGTTATTAACCCTTACTTAAAAACTGAACTTAGAAAAAATTTAGGACGTCAAATTTTGTAAATATTGATTATGTTAATTTTTATCATTTTTATACATTTATTTCTAAAAACAACCAAAAATGAGTCGTATTACTCCTTCTTTTATATTAATTAGTATCAGTTTCCCTTATTATAGACCAACAGCAATCCGCTAACATATTTTTATCCCAAATTCCTTGGTATCTTTCCTCAAAAACCTTCAAATCCTGGTGAAAACTTTCGCCATGCTCAACACTCACGCTTCCCAGGTTCTCAGGAAAAAAATCCAGGTGACAATGTAAAGAATGAATTTTTAACGACTTATTCACACCCATTCTTTGGTAATTCCTCAATAATTTGGAAACAATTTTTGCATAATTCTCAGATAAATTTATAGTTTCCCAGGAAACTTTTCACTACTGCTTTAAATTAATATCAAGCATCTTTCCCTTACTGGAATTGCTGGGTAATAACTCCTTCAGATTGTAGCACAGGTCTTGTGACTGATGCAACATCAAGATATTGTATGTTCTTGGTTTTTGTTGTTAAAACCTGTAGTTTCAGTGAGGCAGAAGTAACAGATATTAGTGTGATTTGTTGGTTCTCTCCATAACCTTATGTTTTCTTTTTCCTGCAGCCTAGTGCAATAATATACTCCTCAAATTTTCGCACACTACACCAGGAACCCACTTTTTATCAGGTTTGTTACCGAGATTAGAAAGTAATAGAAATAGGCCGGTTTTACGGCCTTAGTGACTGGTCTCTTCTTTTTTGACAATATAATTTGGCCACAAACTTAGCAAAAGTTATTTGGGCTTAATTTACACTGCCTTGGTGACATTTTAAAACAAGTGAAAATGTTAAAATAATACTTAAACGCAATTAAAATAAAGTAGAAACTCCGTCACGGCTAACAAGACAGCTTACTTAGGTTAATGTGGATATCTCAAAAACTTGACGTGATAAAAATATGAGACGTAATATTTTTGTAATAAGGGGGCTGATAGAAAACACATCCAATATGAATTATCTTTGGGTAAAAGAAAAACTTTTTTTTTTGTAAACTAGTGTAATTAATTTAATTTATATACAGTTTTTATGAAACGGAAACATAATTAACTTCACTTAATGTTAATTTCCGTTAAATTTTAGCAATCTATGTGATCTAAAAGCCTATCTCGTAAATATATGTGAATCAATCAAAAGTAGAGTAGTATCTAGGTAGGTATGTATAGTTTAAAAAAAAATATTTTAGACTTGACACTAGTTTGATTGATGATAAAATTCGCGTAGACAACCTAAATGACCGTCGGACGTTGACTTATCATTGGCCTGTTTACGTTTCATTGCTTCACGTGTTATTTTTACTCTATTGCGTTGCCAATTATTTTATTTCTTTAGATATTTAACAAGTTAATTTAGCCCTACATAACTTTTTCCTTTAAGTTCTTTGTGCTTAACGTAAATGGACAAAAATATTCAATCATTAAAAAAATAACACGCATGCAGGTGGGCATAGTTTAACTTTGAGCACTTTCGTAGGGCATCCTTAGCAGGTGACCCAAAGTATTGATATTTCATCAAGTAATTAACCTTTAGGTCGGAGAATTATCTGGAGCTCCCTCCCCCCGCGTCCCCTTTGCGGGGCTTCATCGATCTACATCCTCCGCTGCCCTCCCCTCCCACCACTCTCGATGGTCTTTTTTCTGAACCACGTGCGGATTTATGCTCTGGTTTTTACTGCCTGAAAAATATGGTAATATCGGGTTAAAGCTGATTTTATAATTGATTTCAACGATTTGATTGTACCTACCTGAAGTAGCTTCTAAGAGGCTTTTTCTTCTATATTTTACACGTTGGTTATAGATTTTGTTTGATGTTTATAAAGATTTTCTTCAAAAATAATTTATACTTATTGATTTCTTGTTCATTGGAAACTATGTTGTTTATAACTGGGATATACGACATATGCCTATGACATACGACAATAATGTATTTATCAACCAGTAAAAATTGATATTAAAACTGGAAAATATTAGCATCATTTACAAAGATAGACACTTATATCTAATGATTTAAATGATAATAATTATACTTTAAAAGTTTTAAAACATACACAGATTTATAATATTATTTAACTACAATATCCTACAGTTCTAAAATATTTTAACTGCCAATTTACATCAATATGGAATTTATGTGTAGTCTATTTTTAATCTAGGTCAACATCAATACATATTTGTTACTTCAAAAATGCCATAGGAATGTATAATAAAAGATGAAACACTATAAAAAATAACATTAAATTATGATTTTGTATGTTTATAATGGGTAGTTTCAGCAATTAAAAGACTAATTTAATTAATTATTTGGCCAAAAAAATGTTTTTTGCCAAGTTACGGTTAATTTTTATTCCCGGTCCCGGGCTATTCGTTTTCTTCGTTTGCTTTTTTTCATAAAACCTATTTTTTTGTAATTTGAAGTCATAAAAATCAAGCAAAATATGTCAAGAGTACGCTTCCGAACGAGGTTTTTATTGATTGTCTATTTTCGTTGGACTGGCGCATGCGCGTTGCCGTTGGGGCGCCGCCATTTTGCGGAATACTGCGCAGTGCGGTCCCCTCGCGCGTCAGGTATAAAAGCCGCGCATGACGTAAGCGCCCACATTTCAAATCTGGACGTTGTGCTGTGAAGACGTGACTGTGTTGTGAAGTGCTCCTCGAGTTCACCATTGGGAATTTTGCCTGTACGGATTCAGGTGTGTAATATTTTCTGCCCTATCTCTAACCATGGGCTACCATACAAAAGAGAAATCTGTTGTTGACTTTTGCGAAAGTAAAACCGAATCCCTCACTAACTGGGTTCGACAAGTTAAAAGTAAATCTGTTAACGCCAAGACAAAGAGAAAGCGCGATTTGAGGATAATCGCTATTTTGAGTAACTCCCTATTACGTGCTGAGAACGAACTTCTTATGAAACAACGTGAACGTGCCAAGCGGTGGGCCCAGATGCAAGCAGACCTCGGACTTAGCAACAAGGAGGAAGAATTGGCCCGACAGCAGCGTGAAAAAATCGATAACCTATGGAAGAACGATCTTAGCGGTTTAGATAACTTTTTCAAGGAATTAGACAATGTCAAACCTGTTCTAGTAAACTAAAAATCTAGGTAATGTAAAGCAATTTTGTATCTGTGATATACTATGTAGGATGTTTTTCTAAATTACAGTCCCATTGCGTTTCGCGCGTGGGTCTGCCATCCGTCGGCCGCCATCTTGGTTGCCGCTGGGGCGCGGTCGCTGCTAGCCACAAAATGGGTTTGTAGTAAACGGTATCATGCATTTATTTAGTTAGTTAGTTATATTAAATTGTAAATGTTTCAATTTATTCTATTACTAAAGGGTAAATTCGGAATTTGTGTTTATTCATATTGAATAGTGAAAATTATTGTAACATATGTTTAAGTATGATAATAATAAAAGATTTTTCAAAACAAATAGTGTTCTCAATACAATTTCTTTTTGTTTACTGATATTTCACCACACACAAATGTATTATTCCATGAGTCATCATCTTCACTTCGTGGAGAAACTTGGTCGTCATGCTGGCGCAATCGAGCTGCCGATTACGAATCCGCTGCGGAAGGTCGAGGGTCGGGGCGCTGCTATTGCCTCCTGCGTAACCCACGCCTGCACACAAGCTGCGTGCGAGGACATACACTCGAGTCCCGGTTGTCAGCCCACTGACTAGGTAACAGATAGGACATAGCGTCATGATTTCACCACTTAGCTAGAAGGTACTTTTAGGCCCCCCACGGGGGCCTCTGGTTAACTTTGTCTTTAGACCTCAGAATCCAGACGTTGCCAGAGCGGCTGCAACAAGCTAATATCTGCGGTCTCCGTCGCGACGGAGAAACGAGGTCACGAAGTGAGTCATAACTACACACAAACACAAGTGTGACGCATCCCGCTCGGTGAGTCGATTGCTGTACAAGTAAATGGAAAATTACCACGTTTCTTATTACTCATACTGACTGTGATACAAATTGATTATGATAATCAAAAGTACCTGCTGATCACAGGTCGTGTATTTAGGAAATGTTTAACTCTTAACTGCCTACGGGCTATGTGCGTAAATAACACTCCACTCAAACAGGGCTAGAGGAGTAGCCAACTAGCGATGTAATGAATGTAGCGACGTCAAGACGGGCAGGGCAGACGGCTGGCGGGCTTCGAGCGGATCCTGTTCCTGACATCTCACGACCAGCCTCCATCGAGCTGTCTGCTGTGGAGTGGCCAGCCGGCTCCGAAGCCGGCGGTGCCCCGCTGCCCGCCTGCCGAAACCGTCACTACGGCTCTCACCTTAGGTAAAAACCAGGCAAATAATTTTTCAGATACCTAACTATGAGTAGTCGAGTGCATGTTTCACTTTCATGATAAATCTCAAGCAGAGAACTTTAAATACAATAACAATCATAATTAGTTGCTATAAAACGAAAAAATTTAAGAAATAAGTGAAATCATGATGAAATCAAACGCAACGTGTGGGCTGATATATCTCCGGGACGCAGGACTAATAATTGTATTCTCAGGATCCATATCAAATTATAATCTCAAATACAAGAAATAAACAATAATGATAAGGCTGTAATAACTATTGAGGTCAAATGGAGATCTAGTAATTAAATAATGGTAAGTTTACTGACTACTGCATCTAATTTCTTTACTGATCTGGTTTAGGGATATTATAATCATTTATTCTAATGATAATTATACTTAAATAAAATGGGTCATTTTTACTCTATGTGATTAATAACATTGTTTGAGAAAGATATTTGGAATAAGCTACCTTACAATACTTTTAACAATAATCTCTTGACTCTAATTGAACCACGATTACGTCATCATCGACGTAATCAACAAGTAGGTAATTGCGAAACCATTTACTGATATGAATGTGTAAACTTCACAGCTAACTGGACTCGAGCCGAAGTAGACGTGAACCGCAGTTTCACGCCGCGAAACGAAACTCAAGTCTGAAGGCTATCGTCTCCAGTTCTCATTAGAAAATGGACATCACGAACAGATAAGTCCAATGATGTACCACAATTTTAGTACAACCTAACAGGTTGCCCTATATAATCAAAATACGCAGAACAAATGCCTGATTGAAAATTATAGAATTAGCATCGAGGTTGGGTGCAATTCTTGATAATTGTCTGATTGACTGTGACGAAAGGACCGAGTTTGAAGAGTTGAAAGCACAGGTAAGTGGAGTAAAGTCTATAATGTAAAATTAGGAACAAATATAAAGCTGCTTGGTCTTTCGCATAGTGCTGTCAGTTTTACATTGATTGCATCTAACGTTTATGATAAATCTATTACTATCCTAGACAAAAAATCTATGCCTATTAGTAACTGTAAAAATCTGAATTTATTGGTAAGTGGTAGATAGTTTCATCACATGAATTTGTTTACGATTCTGCTTGTAGTAAAAGCGGAATCTATAAAGCTTTCAACTTTTATTTTTTTCAGATCCAAAACTACCTAATTCAATGTCTTTTTAAAATAACACTGCAGTTTGCGACATTAGAGACAGTTGTTGTAGCTGAAATATTTCGAATTCACAACTAAGATGATCCAAGATAAACCAATATTTAAACCAGATAATGCACTTATTAAAATACAAATTGAAATCCTGGAAAATTTATACGATATAAATAATTTATTCTATGAACATTAGAGGTATTTTTAACGAAATCCTAATCAAGCTACTGTAAATATATCTGACTTCGCTGGACTTGTTCGCAAGTCGTGTTTTGCTTCGAAAATATCATGACATTTACAGGTTATTTCAAAGGACAATAAATATCGATATTTGGAGTCATAAAATGGACCACAAATAGCCTAATTGGCAACACATATTCTACAAACAGGAGACCTACAAAATTATTGTGACTATTCGTCGCATATAATATTTTCCTTCAGACAATCCTGTCTTCATCAGATTCTAGGACTCCCACCGCATTACCATTCCTTAAAAAATTATCATCACAAAGTCAAATGGATCCGAACTACCCAAACTCCAGACATCTGGCAGATCTCTTACAAATACAAAACTTAATGATTTCCGAGTTTAACACAGGTATTCCCAACATCATTTTATTTTTATTTTTTCATCTAACATCATTAATTCTATTTTATATATTTATTTATTTATTTATTTAATATTCCTTTGTAATATTATGTTCTATTAAGTATTTAGAATGCCGATAGCACGGCACAGCACTTTTCTATTGGAGTTGAACTTTATTTTTCCTAACATATTCGATGTTTCGTATGTTGCTTCCCCTGTGTTTTGTATAGCTAGGTGGCTGTCATTTCCTGAACGAAGCATGTCGAGTACTCTGATCCCAGACTTGGAATGTGGGAATTTCTCTTTGTCTATACCACTACCATGGACATCAATACATCATATTGTCCGCCCACTACAATATTAATATTTTCTTCAATATTATTATAAACTGGAGCTATTATAAATCTGGACCCTCCCGAGAAATATTTTTTGAAACATTGGAGCTGTTTTATGGAATTTATCTCATTTGAAGTTGCACTAACGCTCAGCCATTAAAGGAAAATGCAAGATTTATGTGACCAATGAGTCCCTACCACTACACGATATTATCTGTAACAGGGAAATAAGTTATAACTCGTGTAAGTAATGTGTGATGTTTGAATGGAAAATTAAGCCATCAGTTTGATAATCAAAATGAAGGAGGTACATTTTCCGTTTGTTTTTCATTACATACTTATTGGTGTGTAGATGCTGCATGTTGGTATGTCAATTTGTTTTTATCGTATACTAAGTAATTAATACGGATTAATACGAAAAAAGCACTGATTACACCTTTTACACCAATCGTTATCAATTAAACTACCTCTGCAGAGCTATCGTTCAATGGTGTATGGTTCATGCTTTTTTCGTTGAGCTTGTTTTACATTTGGACTGCTTGTGCAGTCTTAGATTGTTTAAATTTTATTTGTTTAGGTTCCAAGATTGAACAGGAAAATGCGAATATCCTACCTATTATGTGACAAAAAATATATAAAAATAAATATTATAAATCTAATTTGAAATTGCAAGATAAATGAAAACATTTCAAGAAGGTGATGAGTATTAATACAATAAATTCCCTAAAAAGGGCCAAATACACAAATTAGGATATTGAATGACTATACTTCTGGGCGGCATAAGAAGAACGCACGTTTCGTTAGAAGTTGCGCTTGCGCATAATCATAATTATTCCAGGTTTTCAGTGTCGTGTGTCTGTTTAGCCTAGGTTACCAGTGGATCAGTGGATCCAGTGATTACAATAAAACCTAACAAAATGTAACAATAAAACGAGTTTCACGCATTTGACGAGCTTTGGCGCAGCGACGAGCATTGGAGAATCTCAACACTGTTAATATTTCCTTTGAGAAGTAGTTCAAAGAAAATAAAATCATGCAAAGCAATAAATAATCTAGAAGAAACTGTACAAAATGTGAATTCTGCGAATGGCTTTTTATAGCGAATGAGTTTGAATTATTTTGGGTGGAGGCTGTAAATATAATCTTACCTACTATATGGACACTGGTATGTTATGCTATAGTTAATTTGAGCGATATGTAAGTTCTAGACATTAGGTTTGTTATTGGTTGCGGCTTATGCAACCCGATCCGACCATTACGTTGCCTTGTCTATGTACACAGATGTCTGCAAAGCTGATACTGATGTTGCCACGTTCATCCGCAATATAGCAGGCACGCATGGCTGCACTGCTGTTTACAACTAAGTAACTCATTTCATTATGTCAATAAGTCAATCTTCGTTTGCTGAAAACACCTCGGCGTAACGCTACAGATTCCAGTTGAATCAAGGTTAAATTTAAACGTATCTCACTTTACAAACTCTGGTCTCCGGTCTGCTTGTCTCCACTTCTGGTGAAGTCTTGCAACCAGTCACACGGTAAATCAAATTGCACAAATCTCTATCGCTCTCTCTCTCTCTCTCTCTCTTCTTTTTAGTGCATATGCAGCTGCGATATGAAGTCGTATGTTTACAGCATGGCAGAAATAGATTTGGATCACCTATCCAAGATGTGTGCAAAATGCTGCTACATTTCATGGTAGCTACCTACCTAGTTTCTGTTACAAGAACAAGATCCTGAAAAAATAGATCCAA